TAACTGAAGAGAGAATTCATGAATTAAGAAAGGAAGAAATTATCCAGACTATAGTACAGAGTTAGAAAATATGAGAGAATTATTAAGTTACATGGAAGATAAAGAAATTTAATACATCTAATGGGAATTTAAGAAGAGGGAGAATGAGGCAGAGACAATATTTGAAGAGGTGATGGTTGAGAATTTTTCATAATTGTTGAAAGACACTAAAGCCGGGCATGGTGGCTCATGCCAGTAATCCCACCACTTTGGGAGGCCAGGGTGGGTGGATCACTTAAGGCCAGGAGTTTGAGACCAGCCTGGCCAACATGGTGAAACCCCATTTCTACTTATAATACCAAAATTATCTGGGCATGGTGGCTCACGCCTGTAGTCCCAGCTACTTGGAAGGCTGAGGCACAATAATTGCTTGAACCCAGGAGGTGGAGGTTGCAATGAACTGAGATCACACCACCACTGCACTCCAGCCTGGGCGACAGAGTGAGACTCAGTCTCAAAAAAAAGGCACTGAAGCACAGATGGAAGAAACCCAGTTAATTCCAAGTAAGACCCCAAAAAAAAAAAAAAAAAAATCCATAGTTAAACATATCATAGTAAGGCCAGGTGCAGCCTGGGCAATGTGGTGAGACCTCATCTCTACAGAAAATTTAAAAATTAGTTTGGTGTGGTGATGTGCACTTGTAGTCCCAGCTGCCCCTAGCTACTGGAAGGCTAAAGTGGACAGCTTGAACCTGGGAGGTAAGGCACCAGTGAGCTATGATCGCACCATTCCACTCCAGCCTAAGCTGCAGAGCTAGACTCTGTCTCAGAAAATAATAATGATTTTCCCCTTCCACGACCTCGTGGAAGCTGCTGTTTCTCTTTTCTATTTTTTTCACCTTTTTCTTTCTCTCTGCCTAAATAAATTACTCTCTGCAAAACTCAAAAATAATAATAATACTTTTTAAAAATTGAGGTAATAGAATAAATCTATGAAAGCTTTGTTAACAATTCAAGAACAGATTGTACAAGTTTCAAGAAAACCCAAAACCGTTTCTTCAAAGAAACAAGCAATGTGAATAGTTTTAACACTGCTCGTTAAACAATTTGAATCTAGCTAAAAATTTGTTGCCCTATTTCCACCCTGCCAAAATAAACCTAATTAAAATGGAAAAGATATACCCCCAAATTCCTGCCGTGCTCAGATGGTTCCACACACAAGTTGCATCAAACACTGGATAATTGCATTGTCAGTTTATCAGTAGAGTTGCAAAAAAATACTGAAAACATGAGATCATTCCAATCTTACGAAAACTCAGAGAATAGGAAAAGAGGTAATACCTTCCTCGCTGGTTTTATGCGCTGGTATGACCAAAGTGCAATACAAACACTGTGTGTGTGAGTGTGTATGTCGTGACCGTGTAGGTTTAGCCCAGGTTTAATTTTTCCTTTTTTGAAACAGAGCCTCACGCCGTCACCTAGGCCAGAGTACAATGGCACAATCTCGGCTCACTGCAACCTTTGCCTCCTGGGTTCAAGTAATTCTTGTGCCTCAGCGTTACAAGTAGCTGGGATTACAGGTCTATGCCACCACGCCTGACTAATTTTTTGAATTTTTTGTAGAGGCAGGGTTTCATCATATTAGCCAGGCTGGTCTTGAACTCCTGTCCTCAAGGGATCTGTCCACCTCAGCCTCACAAAGTGATGGGATTATAGCCATGCGCCACTGTACCTGGCCTAATATTTTAAATTTTATTAATGTTTATGTTCAGCAGAAAACCCATCTTGTCTCAAAAGATGTAGACAAAACATCAAAAACTTTACAATAAAGCTTCTTAACAACTAGGCACAGAAATGAATTTTCTTTTTTCTTTCTTTTTTTCTTTTTTTTTGTTTGAGATGGAGTTTCACTCTCTTCCCCAGGCTGGAGTACAGTGCTGTGATCTCAGCTCACTGCAACCTCCACCTCCCAGGTTCAAGAGATTGTCCTGTCTCAGCCTCCTGAGTAGCTGAGATTACAGGTGTGCGCCACCATGCCCTGCTTATTTTTATATTTTTAGTAGAGATGGGGTTTTGCCATGTTGTCCAGGCTGGTCTTGACCTCTGGACCTCAGGTGATCTGCTCACCTTGACCTCCCAAAGTGCTGGGATTGCAGGCAAGAGCCACCACGCCTGGCTGAATTTTCTTACCCTGTTGGCAAATTGTACTCTTTATGAAGTTTCAGAAATTCTTTTTAAAAATCTTGTTTGAGTCAACAGTACTCACCCTCACCGCTTCTATTTAGCGTTGTATTACATGACCAAGACAGCACAATAAAGGCAAAGAAGTAAAAGTGAATTGAGGGAAGTAAGTTAATGAATTATTTGTGAATCTTATTCCATTTAGATAACCCCAAATCTGTGTACAAATTAATAGAATTAATAAAAGTCTAGCAGATTCCTAGTGTGTTAAGATCAAAGTATCATGATCCCATTCTTACCTGCCAAAAACAGAAAATAAAATTTAATAAAATATATATAATAAAAGTAAAGCAACTCTGAATGTCTATAAAGAGTAAGACCTTTGAAAAAAATGATCAAACTTTATCAAAAGACATTTAAAAAGTTAAATAAACATAAGATTATAATGAATGAGAAGACCAGTATTTCAAAGCTTTTCCCCTTAACCCAGAATTTCACATAATGCCAGTCAACATTTCAACAGGTGTTGTTATTGTGTATGTACATGCATATAGAAGAAAGCAAAGGGCTTAGGTAAAGGTGAATTTATTTGTCCTTCCAATTAGCGAGTTGTCTTTTTAAAAAAAAGCTAATCACAGGCCGAGTGCAGTTGTTTCCGCCTATAATCCCAGCACTTCAGGAGGCCAGGGTGGGCAGATCGCTTGAAGTCAGGAGTTGGAGACCAGCCTGGCCAACATGGCCAAATCTCACCTCTACTAAAAATACAAAAATGAGCCAGGTGTGGTGGCCTGTGCCTGTAATCCCAGCTACTTGGGAGGCCGAGGCAGTAGAATTGCTTGAACCTGGGAGGCGGAGGTTTCAGTGAGCTGAAATCACACACCACTGCCCTCCAGCCTGGATGACAAAAAGAGACTCTACCTCATAAATTAATTAATTAATTAATAAAAAGCTAATCACAGTATTATGATGTTGCATAGGTATGGGCACATTGACTAGTGGGACAGACTAGAAGGCTGAGAAACCAAGACACACATAAGTGCTTCTCGATAAACAATGAGTGAAGATGGCATTTTAATCAGTAAGGAAAGTGTTAAGTAAATTTATTTGAACATTGGTTAGTCATATGGAGAAAATAATGTGTATCCGTTCTTTATCCGTACATGAGTAACTTTACAAACAAAATGTTAGTCAAACAGTAAGCTTTAGGAAATATATACCCTGTGTTATAATTTTAAAACTTTTAAAATATGTAAAACAAAACCACATATTGGTTGTGAAAACACGTATTTACTAAAAAAAAACCCACAAGGGAATGCTGAACACTGGGTTTAGTATCACGTAACCCAACGTTGGGGAAAAGTAGAGGGTTAGCAAAGAGAGTTTTTGTTTTTTAAGTTGAATGAATATAAATGTTCATTTAAAAATATTTCTGTGACCTAAATATTTTATAATGAAATTAAGAATTTAAATTCAGTTGTTTTTTCATGTTCACTTTGCCTTTGTGACTGCCTTAATTTAGCTTGGTGACTTCCTTAGGAAGATCAAAGGTCATCACTCATAGGCTTGCCAGCCAGCCAGGCACAGTAGTGACACATTGGACAGATTCATTCATTTCCCTGTTTCTTGTTTAACCTCACCTGTAAAATGGGAGTAATTACTTTATATGCTGTGAGGATTCTGAGTTGACTCCTACGTAGTTGTTAGTAAATGGGCTTTTCACTTCTGTATATTTTCTTAGAGTTTGTAAACAAGTTTTTTCTTAAACTGTTATTAGAAGTCATTGATTCTTAACTAATTTTAGTATTTTTTTTAATGCCGGCTTTCTTTGATTGCTCTTTACCTTCCTTTCTTGAACGTTTTTCAAGCTTTAGGATTTGTTTTCTGCATTACTTCTCTGTAAGCTTTGTCGCTTGTGGGGCTGCAAGTGATTTTGAACAATATATAACAAGCCAGTGGGAGTTCAAATTGGTTTGTGCTATCCTCATTGAATTGTGGCTAGAGGGGCATTTTGTGCTCTCTTAAAACCAAAACGGTCCTTTTAAAAAAAAAGTTTAATCACTATTCATACTAGTCTGATCACCAGTGATTTTATGTTTCTGAATTCATTTTTGTTTTAATGGCTTCATGGTTCAATAATTGGCAAAATTTTTTTGTAACTGCCTACAGCATCGAATTGTCTTTAGGCCATCATTTCTCTAGCTACTCCTAATATTGATTCTTTTTAGCTATATTACTTTATCTTTTCTTTATCTTAGAAACTTACATACATGCTTTAAAAATAGAAGTTTAATGCTACATGTCAAAAGCACATTTATTCACTGGGGAGCTATAGCTTCTTGATGGCTGAGTTCAGAAGGTAGACTTTTTTGGTTTGGGTTTTTTTGGGTTTTTTTTTTTTGTATTACTCTTATTTTCTATATTTTGTTTTTTACAGTGACAGCTAATATTTTCTGTTTTTGGAAATTTGTCAGCTTCATAGACAAAAAAGAAAATTTAATCTGGAAAAAATTATGGGAAATATCCACAAATGGATATCACTTCCTTGCCTAAAGAGATAACATACTAAAATAGTTGAAACCTAAACAGCTGCAAGTCCATGGCGCCATCTCAGGAGTTCCTCCTGTGTTCATAGAACAGTTGTGTGCAGCTCATATGCACATGTGTTCGTGCACACATAGGGAGACGTGGCAGACCTCGTGTGGAGGATCTGCTTACAGAAGCTCTTGCTCCCCTTGTCGTTGGCCAGTCAGTGCCCCTCTTTCAGGGCTTGGGTTTTTTTCTTGAGTAGGTGGCACTTACTGGAAATGTTGTGAAAACACTGTTTTTGCTGTGTTCCCCAGGTCGGATCCGCACAAGACGGCAAAGCTCTGGGAGTGCCACCAACGTCGCCTCTACACCTTCTGATAACCGGGGCCGCAGTCGCGCTAAAGTGGTTTCACAGTCTCAGCGTAAGAAACATAATTTATGCTGTTGCTTACCTCAGATTTATTCAACAGCCCATTTTGCAGTTGAACATTTTACAATCTTTGTATTGACTTTAGAGGGAAAAACACATTTTTTTATGGCTCTAAGATACTGTGAGTAATCTTACTGTTTTTTGGGTAAGCTTAAAAAATGGAACATTCCAGGCATACATTTGTCTCCTTTCCAGGTGATTTACGTTTTATACTGTTAAGCATTAAATATTAAAATGTAGTTTTTCTCTCTCCTTTGAAGCCTGTCAAATTGTAACTTACCTGTTCTCTGACTCATTTTTGCATTGATAAGGAATCTTTCTGATGTAATTTTAGAATAGTACCTGGGCAGAAAACTATTAATGCTATGTTCTTTCCAGTGGTACATAAGTAAATCCATTCAAAGCTCTCCCCCTTTAACTCCGTGCTCTAACATTGCAGCCCGCACCTCTCTTCCTGCCATGTGGGCCCTTGCTTTGCCTAGCTGCCCTGCGTCCATGATTGCGTCTCTGTATATGTGAAGTTAGTTTGTTAGCCTCAGCCATGAAAACAGCCACAGCTGGAATGAGTTTATTCTGGTCACTCTTCAGATCTGCCCTTGGTGTCTCACTTTCCAGCCGCACATAAACTTTGAGGGGCCCTGCTTCCTCTCTATGCATGTTGAGCAGAGCTGGGTAGCTGAGTGCTCCTGGGCAAGGTGAGCATGGGAAGGAAGAGTCTTCCTGTCAGGAGCTGCATGTGATCCCCACAGCACAGCACTCACTAGCTGACATTTGTCTGCCTCCTTTGTGGCCCAAGGAACTGTCTGTCTTTGGTGGAGAGTGCTCCATCTGCACCAAACTTAGGAGTTCTCTTAGTATAGAGAATGCCTTGCTCAACAACTTCTGAATTTAATTTTTTTCCCTTTGATAACCATAGTCCTCATGTTACATCATTTCTGTAAGGAAAGCAGAAGGTCAGTTACATTGCTGCCTTTGGTGAGGCTGCAGAACCTCCCTGCGGCCTAGGTTGTGTTGTGTAGTATGATACACTACAAGCGTGGGCTTCAGTATCAGACAAAACTGGGTTTGCATCGTGGCTACAGTGTGATGTCGGGCGAGTCATTTAACCTTTGTGAGCTGTCGTTTCATTGTCTGTGAATTGCGTGATGACAATTCCTACCCTCATGGGGCTTTCATGAGGATTTAGTGAGAATTAGGAGCCTAGCATGTGATACACAGTAAATGGAAGCAAGCTTTATAGTCATAACTTTAGGTCAGCAGACTCCTGTCCTAGCTGAGGTTGAGGCTCCTTGATACCTGTCTACTTCAGTAGGTTTAGACAAGAAGGCTAGGAATGGATTTCCATGATGAGGGATGAAGTTGAGGATACATTGAGACCAAGAATGCCCTCCTTACTGTACAGCTTAACCCGGATTTTCATTCAGATCCAGGGTGCAGGTGTAGCCCAGAAGTGTCTATCTTGGGAAGAGCTTCCTAGCTCTGGTTATTCTGTTGAACCCTAGTGATGCCTGGAAACACAAAAGGATACATATGGGTCAAATTTCACTGCAAAGGAATTCTTGACAAAAGTGTTCAAATCTCAGAATATAGGTCAATATAATGAAATTAAGCCAAATAAAAAATATCTAGGCTTTTAATTGTGCAGTATTGCTTCCCCTCCGTGGAGGTTTAGGGTTGAACAGTATTTTACATGTTTCTTTCTAGTGCTGTTTATCAGCATTGGGCTCTTTAGGGTTCCCTGCCCTAGCTGGGTCAATGCTGTAGTTGTCTCTCTATGTTGCAGGTTTTAGGAATGGCATACGTTACCTTGGCTTGGCAGGTGGTGAAGATTACATTTCCTTCTCTAATAGTGGTTAGGGTGATTATAGAGCTTTGGTTTTTCAGTCTTATACTTTACCTAGCCTTGGGGCTCCACTTTTAAAACTCCCCAGTTTTACTTTAATTACCAAATCATACTCAGGAAGAGTGACCCACTAGGCAGTTAAGAAGCCTACATGTTAAGCTTATGCATATAGGTTCAATATTTTAAAAATTATTTTAAGTAAGTGGTAAATATAAGCATATGTATCACAAATGTAGATATACTAGTATTCATAGTTCTGATTTCATACTAAGTGGGCTTCATTAATATTAGAGTTAAGGTCCTTAATAATTGGCATATTTTAAATATTTGAGGTTTGTAGGAAGTCAGGACAGTCAGGTGGAAGTAGCTAACACTAGTTTCTTTCAGTTAATTGATGTTTATTGAGCATTTACTATGTGGTAAGCAGTTTTGAAGATGGTAGTGATACACTGATGAGTAAGTCACAGTCACTTCCCTCAGATTGCTTAAAGCAAGAGAACAGATGTGAGTCTGGCACATTGTAGGTTTGAAAGTGTTTTATGAACAGACCTGAAATAAATGCTAATGTAGAATGACAAAGATAAAATAAACATAAGTACAAAAATAGGAAGAACTCCTAGGAAATGTAGCTATTTTGCTAATGTATTTGTGAACAAAGACCTTTGTGTTGTGTTGCATGCTGACCTTCTGTATTGTGTTATTGTCTTTTAATCCACTTTTTGCCTGTCCTTTGGTCTGCTCTCATAATCAAGGATCCAGATCTGCTAATCCTGCTGGTGGTAAGCCATTTCTCTTCTTGCCTTTTTGTTTTGTTTTGTTTTTGGCATTCTCCCTCACCCCATGTTCCTTGCACAATATTAATTTCTGTCTTTATTGTAAGCTTAGTTAATCTTTCTGCATTTTTCTTTGTGTTCAAATTCTAGAGTTTGAAATGGATTTCTTTTCCCTTTATACATAGTTTAATAGTTTACTAGTAGCTCAAATTTTATGGGTAACATTAATTGGTCCTGAGATAAATTATTCATGGTAGTATATATTATTGGTTTTTATAATGGTTTTTCACTTCAATTTGTAGTTAAATCATTATAAACCATTAATTTTTGTATTTACCTAAGTGGTTCATTTGAATGATGGTTGTTTTGATTTATATAATATGTATTTTTAAATAATATATATTTAAAATAAACACACATATAAATTTATAGATAACTGTTGCTTCAAATACTTTCTTCCCTTGGGTCATTCTAGTCTACTACATAATAATGTATACTTTACATTTTAGAATTTTATTGCCTTCTCTACTTAGGAAGATTATCAATGCAAATGACTGCCATTTGAATGTATTGGTATGATGCTTAAAATTTTGTTGTTTTCTCTGAGTGAGAATTGCATCCCACAAGCAATGGTAATATATGTATCTGGCTACTTAACTATTAATAAAAATTATCAGTCATATTATTAGTTTTTAATTTCCGGTTTTATTGCATACTTTTCAAAGAATGTGGTCCATGTTATTTCTACTTTTGTAGATTTTTTTTTGAGATTTGCTTTGAGGCTTAATACACATTTTTTTTTTAATATTCGCATATGGAAAGGTAAAAAGAATGTGTATTCTATTTGTTGGGATATATATGTGCATGTGGGAAGTGTGTGTTTTTATACATACATATACACACATAGGCACAATTTCCATTGCTCTGTCAATTTCTATGAGGTATATACTTTTTCAGTAATTATTAGTCTTTCCATGAGGTCTTTTGGTAAGTATGTCTTTTTCCATTTTTCCCTAGACTTTTATCATTTTTTAGTTTTATATTTCTTTTTATTTTTTAATTTTTTAAGGCTTTAATGGAGGAAGTTTTATATTTCAAAACTATGTTGTTTGGAGCATAAAAGTTTGTGATTATTATATCTTCATGGACAATTATTCTTTCATAAATATTAAATATCCTTCTTTGTCCTTTTTAAATGCTGTGTTTTATTTGATTTGTTTTTGTTTGTGGTGTATTGTTTGACTCTAACAAATATCAGACAGCTGAATTTCATTTTCTTTTACTTTACATTTTCTTTTTCTTTCTTTCTTTCGTTCTTTCTTTCTTTTTTTTTTTTTTTTTAAGAGATAGGGTCTTGCTCTATATTGCCCAGTCTAGAGTGTAGTGGTGTGATCACGGCTTGCTTCAGCCTTGACCTCCTGGGCTCAAGTGATCCTCCCACATCTGTAGTAGCTGGGACTACAGGCATATGCCAACATGCCTGCCAAATTTTTAAAATTTTTGGAGAAATGGAGTCTCCCTCTTGTTGCCCACACTGGTCTCAACCACCTGGGCTCAAGTGATCCTTCCACCTTGGCCTCCCAAAGTGCTCGGACTATAGACATGAGCCAGCAGTCCAGGCTTGTTTTAATCTCTTTTAAATCAATGAATTTAATCCAGCCACATTTATTATGATTAATATACTTGAACGTCCTACTATCTTATTTTGTGATTTTATTTACCAGATTTCTAGTTATTGTATCCTCCTACCCCCTTTTCTATCATTTGTCAGATTAATAGATTTTTCTTGGATCCATTTTCTCTAATGCTTAAGAAAATTGTTATAGTTCTACTTCTGCTCTTCTAGCAATGACATTTAAAATTTTTAACATAATCAGCTCTTATAGAATTAAAAAAAAAAACACAACAAGAATAAACACCTTGTGGTATTTGTAGATATTTAATGTGGAACAAGGAGGCTGTTGTTGGTACTTAGCCTGCTGTTTTGAATCAGAAATCTTGTAGTTATTTTTTGTAGAATTCTACCAGTATTTCTTCCAAGTATATTCTTTTATCAATGGTCTTTATGTTCCTACATTTAAAAAAAATTGCTACCACCACCAAATAAAGATTTATTTTTATAGAAAATTATGTATTTTATCCAAATTTATGTGTAAAAACTGGCTTTTAAAGGTTTTATAATTCATTCCTACATTTACATCTTTTATTCATTGTTATTTTGCTTCACTTTTAGCCGGCAGCCGGTCAAGTTCTCCGGGAAAATTGTTGGGAAGTAGTTATGGTGGACTTGCTGGGGGCTCCTCCCGAGGCCCACCTGTGACACCATCTTCAGAAAAGCGAAGCAAGATTCCCAGGAGCCAGGGATGTAGCCGGGAAACAAGTCCAAACCGAATAGGATTAGGTAAGGATTCTCAAAGGTCTTGGAATACCATTCTCAGCTTGGTCATAGTTTTTATTATAACCTAATGACTGTGTCTAATGTAGGAAATAGAGATCTGTTTTTTTGAACTGAGGATGTCACTTTGCCTGGGTATACAGATTATGGCATATTGAGTGTTCAGTTAGAAAAATGTGTGGAACTTAACCATTCAAATTTATGGGAAGGAATTATGTCATTGTAGGCTTTTGTGTTTTGCAGTCATTGTATAAAGCATTGGAATTGGGGAAATAGAGGGTGTTTCCCTCACATTTAGAAGCAGTGTTGCTTTTCATTTTCCTTTTACTGATTAGCACTAAGTAGACATTAATCTATATGAATTTTCAAAAACAACATTTAGGGTCTAAATTTGTTTTAATTCTGATCTTCTCTAATCCAACTGGTGAAACTTATGGTTCAAAAACATGTATAGTTACTTTTGACATAGATTTGTTTAAGCATGAAAGCTAGGAATTGATTAAAATCAATATATATTTATTTTTGCATTATTTAGTTTTTTTTGTTATAGTGTGTAGGATCATGTGACTTAACTCTCAGCAGCTTAATTGTCTTTTAATCCATTAACATCTAATTCATATACTGCCTGTTTAATATAAAATTTAGAAATCTTTGTGATATAATGCAAAAAATCTAAATTCATATTCTTTATGACTTATGTACTTTCTAAGGGTAAAATGTATTAATGTAAAATCAGATTACTATATTCTTAAATTGTGTTGGCTTATCTTTCTCATTTATTCATTTATCTCATCAACAGTGTTTACAGTGATATACGAGGCACTTTGTTAGACATGAGAATTAGAAGATACATGAGATAGATTTAGATTCTGACTTCAAAGAGCTTGACTCTATTGAGGAGAGGTGGAAATGTAAGACAGTATGACAAATACTATGACAGGGTGCTTTGGCACCATAAAGAAAGGAGTGTCTTAGACCCTTGGCCACCCCAGATTTCCTGCTAGGGGATGCTGCCCAGAATAGGTTCTGTTTTCATGAAGTACAAGGTGGAATTGGTCCTGGTGGGGAGAGGGGAGAGAAGCATCTGCAGAAGCAGTCAGGCAAAAGGCAGCCACAAGTAATTTATTTAGCTACTGTACAGGAAGTCAGAGTCATTTGAGTGGGAATTGAGGGCAGAGAGACTGGTAGAGTCCAGTTCATGAGAGTCTCTGAAGGCCACCTTAGCTACCAAAAGGCAGGAGCAGATATTTAAGAATGGGTAAGATTTGATTTGAACTCCTATTTCCAAAGCAAGCAGAAAGTATTTGGTGGTTTTATTAATTCTCTATGATGCGAACTTTTTATTGGCATCGCATAGTGTGGTCTCTGAGCTGACAAGTCATTCGGGTGTTGATGTGGATATAACTATAGAAAAGATTACAGCTGGAATCTCTGAATATTATGGCTGATTTGTGTTTGGAAAATGCATTTGATTTCAAATGTAGGTATTAGGTTTCAGCTGTCTTTTTTCATAATTAATTGTTTTATAGGATGTCTGTCTTCAATTCATGTTAGTTTTATACATTTAAAGATTATTTTCTGTTTTAAGATTTTCTTTCTATGTTATTAAAGATGCCATTTTAATCTTCTTCTTGAAATCGGGAAATAACCCAACTTCATTTATCTAACATAATTCTAATGTGCTCCATGGTTTTAACTAAGAAGTTTGTGTTGTGTGTAGTTGAAAAGACAACACTTTATACATTTTTAAAACGGGTATTATGGAACATCAGTAGGAACTAAAGAAAAGCCGATTCCCTTATTTGAACATTATTTAAAGAAATTTATTTCCCTGATGCTAATTAAAGAGATCAGTTATGTGTAGAGCTTTGAGGTCATACATATGGTTCAGATTAAAGAAGATATTTTATTTAAATTTCTACACATTGTGAGAATATATTCACAAAAAGAAATAAATATTAATATAGCCAGGCATGGTGTTGCGCGCCTGTAATCCCAGCTACTCAGGAAGCTGAGGCAGGAGAATCACTTGAACTCTGGAGGTGGAGGTTGCAGTGAGCCAAGATCATGCAATTGCACTCCAGACTGGGCAACAGGGCAAGACTCCATCTCAAAAAAAAAAAAAAAAAAAAAAAAGGGAAAGAAAAGAAAAAGAAATGCCAGATATAGATGATGGGGTGATGGAGGCAGCAAACCACTTCGCCATGTATGTACCTATGCAACAACCCTGCATGATTGGCACATATACCCCAGAACCTAAAGTACAATTAAAAAAAAAAAATATATATATATATGAATAAAATATATTTTCATTTTTTTCCCTATAGTACTCCTTGGACATTCCATTTAATAGGGTGGCAGACATAATAGCATTATTCAGTAATAGATTGTGTATTACTATTATCATTTAGTATATACTGGATATATGCCTATATGTCTTAACATTTGACTCACTGTTGAAAAAAAAATTCATTTTTTCAACTCATTGTTGAAAAAAAAAGGGAATGTCTTGTAGTAATATTTTCTATAATTCCCAAACCAACTAATTCAACAGTTTTAGTGATGGCTGAACTAGGTTTGGAATTTGCACTGAGAATTAATTTCTTTTTTCATTTGTTTTAAAACTGATGCCAGGGTTCTTTGGCATTTTAAGTTTTCTTACACAAAACAGCCTGTAATTCCTGGTTGAATATTCAAGAAGCAAAATATATCCTTGCTATTCTCTTTTTTCTTGGCGATTTGTTCCCCCATAAGCTATCTGAATAGGAAAATATATTTGTAAATGGTTTTATTTTTGTGTGTCTTAAAGATAATACTTTATAGATACAGTAAAGTCATATAAATCACCAGTATCTATAGTGATTCTATTTTGGAAGTTTGCCCTTGTTTCCTTCTGCCACTCATCTTTGGAAAGGCTGTGAAAAGACATTTGACATTTTTGTAACTTTCATTCTATGGATGTATATTTAAAATGTTCTTAAGGTTTTCTGGTTAAAATACTTTGAAATAATTAAACATTAATAATAGTTCATTTCAACTGTGAAATTAGACTACTGTCTAAGACCAAGACATGAGAATGTCTAGACAGAGAGACATCTCATGTCTTTAAGTTCCGGTTGTTTTTATTAATTCTCTTATGTTCTGCTTTTATGAGTCCTGGTTAGACCCTTCCTTAAAAGGTAAAAGTCAAGATTACCATTAAAACAAGGAAGTAGGGTAGAGTGGCTATCAAGAAATGAAAACCAATCAAATGGGTTTTTTTATGGCTTCCCAGCATTTCATGTAAGCAGAAGACCCCAGAGCTACCTAGGACTACTGCTTTTTTAGGAAGTTCATAGTACAAGTATGTTCTCCTTGTCTGTCTCTCTTATGCCTTCTCCTCTGTAACATATTTTCACATACAACATTTAGTTTGGCACTTACAAGTTATTTTGGTAGGTTTTTTTAGATTTGATCACCTAATTAATTCATTTATAAAAATCATTTATATACTGATTTTAGGCCGGGCATGGTGGCTCATGCCTGTAATGCCAGCACTTTGGGAGGCCACAGCAGGTGGATCTGTTGAGGTCAGGAGTTCGAGACCAGCCCAACCAACACGGTGAAACCCCGTCTCTACTGAAAATACAAAAATTAGCTGGGTGTGGTGTTGCGTGCCTGTAATCCCAGTTACTCAGGAGGCTGAGGCAGGAGAATCACTTGAACCCAGAAGGCGGAGGTTGCAGTGAGCTGAGATTGCACCACCAAATTCCAGCCTGGTCAGCAGGAGACTTCCTCTCAAAAATAAAAAATAGGTCAGGTGCAGTGGCTCATGCCTGTAGTGCTAGCACTTTGGGAGGCCAAGGCAGGTGGATTGCCTGAGCTCAGAAGTTTGAGACCAACCTGGGCAACCTAGAAACAGTGAAACCTTGTCTCTACTAAACTACAAAAGTTAGCTAGGTGTGGCTGTGTGTGCCTGTAATCCCAGCTACTGGGGAGGCTGAGATAGGAGAATTGCTTGAACCCTGGAGGCAGAGGTTGCAGTGAGCCAAGATCATGCCACTGCATTCTAGCCAGGGGACAGAACAAGACTCCCTCTCAATAAATAAAGAAATAAATATAAAAATATGCTTATTTTAAATCCTTCTTTTAGATTAGTCTTTCGAAGTAGTATTATAAGTGAGTTTGTATTTCTCTTGTGTTTTAAATTATTTAACATTTAAACTGTTGATGTCACCACTAGATTTATTTTAATGAGTAAATGATGCCAAGGCTCTTGAGGTTTAGGGTAATTATGCTCATATTTTCACAAAATCATAAACAGAAAGAATTATTATTCTTTATACTACTACTAACCATATGTTAAAGGAGAAAATCAGCTCAAATGGGTGAATGAACTCTCTCTGGGTGAAATACCAGGGGGGTAAACCTTATTAAGAAATATATGTATGCTGTTATTTCAGATCGTATCTGTTTACTGCTGTTAATGCTTTTTATTGTCTTCACAAAGCAGACTCAGACCAAAAAGAGAGCATTTCTTTCCCATTATTCTAGCATGTATATGAATTTAAGGAAGGGGTTAGGCTGGGAAAATTTCAGAAGTAATCAGGCAAGAACTATTTAGAAAATGCTCAGCTAAGCATGCACTTGTTTAAACAACTGTCAAGACTTTTTATTGCTTTTTTATTGTTTGTTTTGGAGCGGACAGTGGAATAAGACAAAATTTTCACGTGTACTCTTCATCAGGAGACTTGGAAGTACTTATGTATGTGCATTATCTCATAGTACCCTTCTCATTTAAAATGAGGGGACACGTTCTTTTTCCTCATTTTCCTAATGGGATGCTTGAGACCCAGAGAAGCCTAGTGGCTGGACCAGTGAGAGCATGGAACTGGAAAGGTTATTTTTTGACTCAGATTTGGCATTGGTTCTCTAAAGATGAGTAGGATGCGTGGTATTGCTGTGTACATTCTAGGAAACTTTGTCATATTGGTAGGGCCAGTATATACTCCCTGGTTTTTTAAGGATTTAATATGGCATCTCCCTCCTCTTGTCATCATTGTAGGAGCTGTTTAGAAGGTCAAAAAGAATCGCTTATTCAGAAGTCACTACTACTTTGAATGAAAATTCAGTGCTTTCATGTCACTCTGGCAAAATTAAGGAGAGTTTAAGACTTTCTGGTGAAGCCCCAGGAAAGCCCTTTATATCTAGATTGTTGAGATTACATTCCTGTGCCTGACCTTTTTTTTTTTTTTTCTGGCCCGAGCAGTACTAAGCATTTACATATCACTTGAATGCCTTCAGAGTCTACTTCCACTCCAGCACAGAGCAGTTGAGCCCCGTGGAAAGTTGGCTTTAGTTTTCCCTTTCGTATACTTTTTTCTTCAGGAAGTGTTATGATTCTGATTTATAAGACATTCTTATAGTTTGGCTATATACTCTTTGCTCTGAAATAATAGACTATGCACGTTGCAGTATAGAAACATACTTGTTTTTATATCAGTGAATCAAGTTGATTGTTTCCAAAATCTCGACGTTTTTTTCCAGTCCAGAAGTTGTAGATCCTCTCAAGATGGAAACGTATGTTGTCCCTATCAGCTATTATATTAGGTATTCCACCTGCATATATTCAATATACAAGGTTGTTTTGGAGTATTTTGCCAGTAAGGTATTTCCATTTTCTCAAATTAAATGGAGAAACAGGATATCCTGGTCTTTTCTGAGCTTCACAGCCAAGTTATGAGACCCTGGGATATTCATGCAATTCTGTCTTATAGTCTCAGTGTTTTCTAACATGAGAATGGTTAACTTTATCCAGATGATCAGAAAGTTATTTGCTGTTCCCAGGTCAGTAGAGGGATGTTTCACCCAAATACTGAGAGTATTGATCTATTTGCTGTAGCCCCAGTGTAGACCGGATCAGTGGCGGTGCTTGGTAGAGACCAGAGGCAAATCTTCCTGGATTCTCATTGAAAAAGCGGGGATAAAACGTTGGGATCAGTAAAGGAAAGGATAACTGTCCCCACTTTTTATATCTGCTGGTTTGGAGAATTGGGTATGTTTGAAGCATCTACACGCTTACTTGGAGTGGGTAGACTCTCTGGTTATGCCAACCTTTATGGCTTCTCTTGGTGAAGAAGGCCAGCCTGGGAGCAGTGAGCCCTCTTCCTTTTCATTAGGTAAGTTCATGGACTTCAGTGACCAGTATAGTTGTTCTGTTCGTTAATCCAAATTAAATTACCTTTCTAAAGAACAAGTGAATACAGCTTTGTTTTTTTGTCATCTTGTTGCGAAGTTTGCTAAACTCATAAAAACTGATCGTTTCTAAAAGGCTTTTGATCTTGTATTTCTGATGCCAGTTTGTTCTTTAGAAAGATTTCTTTTCACTTCTTACATTTAGGTGTAATTTCACCTTCATACTAAAATTCACAGCTTTCTGAGGCATTGAGCATAATCACGTTTTACCTAAACCCTCCCCTGTTGGCACGTCAGTCAGCGAGACCTCAGCGTGGATAGGTGGCTCAGTCATCAGAACTCCCCAGCGTGAACAATGTCATAATTACATTAACCAATGTGACTGACATTTTGTGAGTTTTTCTGTCTTCATTAAACTTGTTCACCTTCTCTGAAACCCTTCATGCTGCACACTAGCACGGAGCAGCCGTATCCCTCGACCCAGCATGAGTCAGGGGTGCAGCCGCGATACCAGCCGTGAGAGCAGCCGAGATACAAGCCCTGCTCGGGGCTTCCCTCCGCTTGGTGAGTACATGGAGGCGCTGGCTGAGGAGCAGAGTTCCTTGCCCTGCTCCAAATGCTTGTCCGAGACACTGCTAGGTGGAATGAACTGCTTTTCCTCCTCCACTGTCCTTGTGATCCTTCCTTCTTTCTTCCCTCTTCCTTAGTTACCCTCTGTTGTCCCCCTCTGCATGCTTGAATTTTGGCAACTTCAAATTTTTATAAATTAGAGGAAAAAAACACCACTTCACTCTGTGCTGTTGTCATTGATGACAAGCCCATCTGTGTGGCAATTTCTCACCTATGGCAAAACTCAGCCTAAGTTAGTTGCTGCTTAAAAGGAAAGTTAATCCAAAGTTTATCCTTAGTCATTGAATTGTTACAATTTATCTTTAATTTTACTACAGATCAGTCTATATGTAATTGAATTCAAAGAAGGAATCAAAGGGCAGTTGTGGTAATGTTTAGAAAAGTAAATGAGTTTTCTTTTTAGTGTTAATAGTCCTGCCTTCTCTAAAATGGACACATAATAAACGCTTTTTAGTTAGTATAAACTGTTAATGCACCAAAGACATCTGTCAACACATACTTTTGTGCAAAGGAATATTTTATATTCTTCAATAATTATTTTTTGCCCCTGCATTAAGTGCTGTACAGCTGTCCATTTTTCTCTTAATAAGCATACACATAGAAACCATTTTATTGTAATTAGACCTAGACCTGAAATTATGTGGATCTGTGGACTCCAGCAGTCTGCTAATTTTAACTACCTAATTATATAACTGGTCTTTTGAAAACGATACATGTCACTACAAAAGAGGGATGTTAAATCAAAATCATAAGGTCTTAGTATTTGCCTCTACCTATCTCCTTCTAATGTCATTCACTTCTTCTGATCTTTTTTCCCTAATCAGTATCGGTAATCAAAATCTAGACATATTTCTTTATGACCCATTGTCCTTTATGAGGTTCTGAAAAAAGAACAGGCAACCAGATGCCAAACCAGTTAGTACTAGGCCATCCCCGTAACTGAGTGAGGCAATGCCTGTTGTGAGTGTTCCACCTTGTTAGCATGAGCCCTCGAGTGGGGCAGCGTACCTATTGCCTGTCACCTATTCCACAGCAGTCTGAAGCATTACAGCAGAATTCTGTAAGCAGAGGTGGCAATGATGATTTTTTTTTTTTTTCTGAATGAACTGGTGATTTTTCCTTTTAAATTAAGGCTGTATATCTTTGCATCCTTGCTCACTATTTGACCTTCTGAACAACCTATTGTATGAGTAAATAGTTCAATTTTTTATTGCTTATTTTGTCTCTTAGAAGCAATTCAGTGTTTTCCTTTCAAATATTTACTGTTATTTTTGATACTGTATGTAGAAGCATCCTTTGGAATCTGGCATGTAGACCAGGCAAGGTGTGCTGAATTCTTGAGATCCTAATTGAACTTTGAGCGGTTGAGTGAATCTTGTCTGTTTTGTACATTGTTTGGTTAAACAGATCTGCCCAGCTGTCTTGGTGACAACCCAGAATGTTGAAATGCGTAATTGCCACTACCAAGGCAGAAGGTGTGGGTCCTCAAAAACTAGCATCAGCTCATGTCTTCTGTTGTGGTCAGGGCAATAGTTAAGGGCTTTGAGCTAAATTTTTGTATCATGCCTTTCGCTTACCTTGGGTTAAACCTGACCCTAAAACTTAGGTTCAGCAAGAACAACCACATTGCTCGTGTGTACCCACACCATGTGGAACAGTCAGCAGGCATAATGCCTGTGGTCCCTGTTCATCCTCTGGGACAGGTATTAGCATCAGAGACTTAGGGAGAATGAGCTACTTTCTCAAGATCACACAGCTAAATGGTGGAGCCAGGGTTTGGATTCAGGTTTGACCTCAAACCTGCCTCATTTGGAAGTAGTTCTGATAATTCAGTGTCTTTCATTTGTTCCTTGAAAATGTGTTAGATGCTTGTACTGAGGCTTCTGGGTGGTGGTTAGAAGAGGTTTCTGAGTCATTTATTTCCAGGCTTGGGGTTAGGACCTGGGAACTCAAAAGAACCCAAAAGATTGTTGCCCTCAGGGGAGCTTACTACACATTCTCTGAAGGTTCCTTCTTTAGCTCATCCATTTTAATAATCTCTTCCCACCCCTTTTGGATATTAGTGAGATTGTATGTTAGGGCTTCTTTGAATCCACTTATATAGCCAGCTTTCTTTAACAACAACAAAAGAAGAATGAAAGTACTTAAATATTCTAATGAATATATATTTTTGAGTTTGCATTTTTGTTTTGGGCCATTTTGATGATATGAATCTATATGGTTATGGTGATAATTGTTGATTAAGGGAAATCAAGGGCTCTAGGACTGCTATAAATTAAGCTTTCACATAAGAGGGTCTATCTGGGATTCCAGTGTTGGGTGATAACTTGGGAATGTGACAAAGGACTCATTGCAGGGCAGATTTCTTTTAGCATATTCTGTTGAAAATGAACCAAAGGACCACTTTATAAGGAACCTATATATCAGGTACTGCTTAAAAACTATTTCAGACTAAACTATCAAGACAGTGATGTGCTTATATAAAAATGTATAGTTTGCTTCAGTCTTTTTTTTTTTTTTTTTTTGCTTCAGTCTTAACACTAGATATTTCACCAACTTATTTAGGGAAAGTGATAATTTTGTAATATTCATTGCCAATTTATTTTTAATTTTTGTGAATCTTGAGAAGGAGATATTTTCCTTTTTTTTGCAAGCTGGTAAAAATGTGTCCTTATTAACCTGGTAATCTTTGCTATTTAATACCGCATGTACCATAGAGATGTACATTTTATAAAGTAACTTGGACCTTACAAATCATATTGAAGAATTTGAGGTATTGATATTTTATGACTGAATGTGAGAATGTTAACATGTACAGGATAGTCTAGTAGTATGGATGAAATGTAGCACTGCTCAGCATTACTTTGTTAAACCTATGAATTTTCTGTGGTATAATACTGTGAATTTTTCAGAGTAATGACTGGAAGCATATTGTCTTTTGTTGAAAAGCCGTATGTTACATGGAACTGTGGTCAATAAGTTAATGTTTTGAACCAAGTCTTTATTTCTTAATTATTTCTAAAAGTTGTTTTCTTTCCACATGAAAACAAAATTTAGCATTTATTTCCTCAGGTTGATGAATTAATATGCTCATTACAAATACTTGTTAATAAAATGGTACTCTAATGTCAAATTGTAAATTGTAGGCTGCTCTTAACTGTTACCAGCACCACCACCACTACTAACCATTGTTTAAGAGCTTTATACCTCTCAGTAACTCCCAAGAGGTAGGTACCATTAACCATTATTAGCACCATTTTATAGATAAGATATTGAGACACAGATAGATTTAGTACTTTGCCCAATGTCGGTCCTATGACTAGTTGTGATCCAACTAGGGTTTACATTTGCATTACTGAGCTGGTGCTCATAACCAGTGTACTGTAACTGCCTCTCCAAGGAAAATATTAAACTTAATACAACTAAATTTCCAACAATTACACAAGTACTAATAATTAGGATATGGCCAGGCGTGGTGGCTCACACCTGTAATCCCAGCACTTTGGGAGGCTTGAGCACATTGCTTGAGCCCAGGAGTTCGAGACCAGCTGGTGCAACATAGGGAGACCTCATCTTTACAAAAAAAAAAAAAAAAAAAAGCAAAAAAAAAAAGCCGGGTGTGGTAGCACATCTCTGTAGTCCCTGCTACTTGGGAGGCTGAGGAGGGCAGATCTGCCTGAGCTGGGAGATCAAGGCTGCAGTGAGCCTTGATGGCGCCATTGCACTTCAGCCTGGGCAACAGAGTGAGACTGTCTCAAAGTAATAATAATAATAATTAGGCTATTCATGCAACAGAACAACAAACATTTTGACTAGGGAAAATAGAATTCCAATTGTTGAACTCCCTTCCTGTGATTTCATTTGATTTCTGTTGAAGTAACATTATGAACTTCTATGCTTGTTTTTGGTGCATGGTTGCATATGCATCACATACTGAAAAAACATCTCGTGAGCTGAGTTAACAGTCCGTCTTACTGTCATCCCACTCTGGGATGTAGACGGTGCTCTGTGACTCCTGCTGTTCTTCATGTTGCATATTTCCATACTGGCTGATGGAGGCTTCATGGTGTGACTATAACCTTGGAGTCCAAGTTGGTTGATGCATACTTAGTCTGGAGCACCTTTAAGAGTGCCTTTGTTGTGCCTGTGTGTTTAATAGCTGTGTGAAAGCCAGCTGGCCACCGTGGAGTTTGGGGATTGGCACTTGCTGTCCATTCATATCCAGCACCATTTCTTCTCATGAGAAAACATGGCCTTGTTGGTAGTGGTCCCTGCATTTCCTTTGGACTGTGGCATTTTCTGTCTCTGGTACTTCTGTGTTAATCCTGTGGGTGTTGCCATTCCTTTTACCTGCAGCCTCTCGACGTCATTCCAGGTCCACTAGTGCTCTCTCCACTGCTGAATCTGTTGGGCAGTCAGGTGAACAAGTGCTAACTGCATGACTCGGCTTCTTCATATGTTCTAGTTTCACACCCATGTTAACATTTGTTTTCATCTGTGTCGGCTAGCACTTGGCATGTATGCACCTCATATTTTTTCCCCCAATGTGCTTTAATTTTTTTAAGTTATTGAATGTTTATAGTTCTGTTAATAGGCTGTAGATGCTTTATAGCCTGTTCGACAACATCGTTTCTCCAGTATTCATATTTATGTTAAAAGAAAACAAAAAGCAGGGAAGTACTTCCCTTCCTGCCACCCTGACCCCTGGAAAATAACCAAAATCAGGTATTATTTAGGGTTCCTGTGGGGCAAGGGGGTATGGATATCATCCAATAGATTCTCTCAAAAGTCTCAAAACTGGCACGTATTAATACTAGTTATTAATGTCAAGTTCATATTTTTCAAGGTAGCACTTAGTTCCCAGTGTTGCAGATTGTAGCATACATAATTTTATATGTATGAAAATAAGTGTATTATTCTCAAAGTTTTATGGAAAAACAAGATCAGGATTCAGGTAATCAAGTCAGGCCAAAGGTATTCTTTGCAGCCTGCAGACTCCAAACCTTCTCTCTCTGCTCTGTTTAGCAATACTCGATGTCCACTGGTTAGCCCCACAGTGGCAAAATGTAAGCAAATAGTAATACATCAATTTGTTAGATTTAATGACATTATTTTTGTATGCTAACAGTCCCTAGTGACTACAGTTTTCTCAATTGAGTAAGACATAATCCATGAATTTGCAGACCGTTCATGGTGACAATTGTTACCGATTCACTGAATCAGGTGTTTTCTCTTTTCGTCCTCTAAATGAAGTCAGCAATGATTTTTTTTTTTTTTTTTTTTTTTGAAACAGGGTCTTACTCTGTCGCCCAGGCTTGGAGTGTAGTAGCATGATCTCGGATCACTGCAACCTCTGCCACCTGGGCTCAAGCGATCCTCCCACCTCAGCCCCCCAGATAGCTGCGACTGCAGGTGTTCACCACCATACCTAGCTAGTTTTTTTTTTTTTTTTTTTTTTTTTTTGTAGAAACTGGGTTTCATCATGTTGCCCAGGCTGTTCTCAAACTCCTGGGCTCAAGCAATTTACCCACCTTGGCCTCCCAAAGTGCTGGGATTACAGGCAAAGCCACCGTGCCCAGCCTCCTATATATTCTAAATATATACACTTCTCTGAAGATTAGGGGCCAGACTGAGAGCATAGTCATATGTATTCATCTCTTGGAAAATTGATGTTCATAATACTATCAGAGCCTGGAGAATATGGAACAGATTTTACTCTGGTGAAAACATAAAGCTTATAATTTTGCTTAGATCCAGATAAACATTTCCCCTTAAGATTTGAAATTCAAATTGTCTATGATATGTATCAAATGATCTGTAGTCACTGTATGTGGCAAAGCTGTATGCATCTTGGAAGCACAGAATAATTGCATTGTTCTTAGAGTTTTAATTTTGTGTCTGAAAAATCTGTATTCTCCCCGGAGCAAAAATTGCTGGCATGAAATCTTTTTTTTTTTTTTTTAATTTTATTAGACTTTGTTTTATTTAAGTTTATGCTGGGTACTTTTTAAATGGCTTATAACTGAATTACTTTCATTCTGTTACTCATAAATCTACTATCTACCCTTTTTTAATGAAAAAAAAAAAAAACGAACAAAGATCATCTATAAAACTATGTGCATAGTAAATCTCACATTTATACTTGTTTTGTATTTCAAGTGATAAATATAGATAAATGTAATTTTTAATGGTCCTTTTTAATTTATATGGCACATTACCTTTTAAACATAATGGCTAAGATGACAGTTGGAATGGCCAGCAAATGCATTAAAAAAGGGGATAGTATAACATACAATTTTTTTTTAATAAAAATTCATGACTGTATAACTCTACTGATTAGCAGTGTTTAAATTTTTTCTCTCTGTGGTAGTGGAAGGTGTAATGTTTGAAATTAACATTTTTAAAAAGCTAAATAACAATTAACTTTTAAAGTTCATCAGTTTTGTAGGCACTGTCTTGTTACGTATCTAAAATTTTAAATAACAATTGTTTTATAGGAAAGATCAATTCATGTAAAATAGATAATAGCTTCCCTTTTATTCTAGATGCTTCTAGAATATGGCTAACATAGAGATTTTCCTTGTCCAAACGATGTCTTATTTGTTAACACAGAGAAAATATTTTATCTTAACGTTTTTCTTCCAAAGGTTTTTATACATTAGAATTTTAAATAAAATTTTTTTTACTGGTAGATAATGTATAACACACTTAATGAAGATATGACTTGCACTTCCTTTCTTCTAGTATAGTTTTAATCTCCAGCACATCCTAAGGAAGGTTGGTTAGCTGATTTAATGGGACTTTAAAAAGTGAGTTTGCATTTCCATGATCACTAACAAGTTTAAAATAGATGCTTGAACTACTAAAATTTGTTTTAAATTCTTTGGATTCTTTCTATTTTATCTGTATAAAGATTACCATTCTAAATTATTTGAGGAGCCCAGGTAAAACTTATATTACCTAAATTTTTAATGTTCTGCAGTGAAAGTGCTCGATTTTTTTGGTGATCATTTGAATAAATTGATTTTTAAGTAATTTTTGTTGACCAAGGCATCGTGACGAACAAGCATCTAAAACTAAGTGAGTTTAGTAATAGTAAAACATAGTGACACTAACAAAAATTTGCACAGAAATCAATTTAACTCATCTGTTTCAAATTTTAATTTTTTACCACACATTGCATTAGAACTCTTTTGAAACCCTGAAGCTTTCTAATTAGTTTCTTCAAACATCAAGGCCACTTTTGCCTCTAAAGGGAAAGCTAAATAGATTAAAAGACTCCACTTATAGCCTAGATTCCTTTTATAATAAGTTACCCCTTCTCTCTGATATCTCAGAAACTTTTCGATAATAAAATGTCATGTTTGAACGATTTTGAGTGACAGTGCTTTGTGGCACATAGCATTAAATGTGAGCAGCGTAACCTCTACCACTGGTAAAGAAGTCAAGTGTAGTTAAAATTGGATGGACACTTTTCAGTGCTTCTGTCTACTTGGTGGGAAGAGGCAGGAGTCCTTGCAAGGAATTGAGATAATCTGAATTAAAGTGACACATCTTTTGCTTTTGTTTTTTAAATAGATCGGTTTGGGCTTGGCCAGCCAGGAAGAATACCTGGTTCTGTGAATGCCATGAGAGTTTTGAGCACAAGCACAGATCTTGAAGCTGCTGTTGCTGATGCTTTGGTAAGAGGCACAGTGTGTATGTAAACAGTCGCTTTGAAATACTCATCTGCATTTCTCTCTGTTTTAACAGGAAATTGCCCCCAAATCAGGTTGCTAAATCATCTTTGACACTCTTTAAAATTGTGTAACTGTTGGGTAAATGTGTATTGTTATTTGCTTCTTAAACTTTTACCTCTGCTCATGTAAATGAAAATGGACTTTACAGAAAATATTAGAGTCAGGTATTTCTTATCTGTGCTCTTCAGTATCAAGAAGCTTTTGATGACATTGGGCTTCTCGGCTGTCACTGGCCTTTTTTTTCTTTTAACCATGGTTTGTTTTGTTTTTTTCCTGGCACTTCTTTTTTTCCATTCTGTTGCTTCTATTGCTTTACAGATTTTGATGGCATAACCTAGACATTTTTCATAATAGTAGGGAATAGAGTTTGAGGTTTGAAAATCTCGCATTTATTCCATTACCTTGTCTGTATGATTTTATGTTGTTTTCCTAACTCTTTGAGGATGGGAAGCAATGGTAGAATATGTTTTGCATCATTATAGTGTAATATCTGAAAAACATAAATGATCATGGATCCTTTAATGTTTTGGTTATACCAGAAAGTTCCTTGGTAGAATCAGCTTGTGGTCCAATTGCTTTTTAAAGATGCATTTCAGCTAGTCACACAGTCTCTTGCATATTCCGGTTTATGTGCTCAGCATTTGAAATGGGTGTTCTTTAGAACTCTCTGATCACTGGCCTTGCTTTTGCTATTTTAAGACTTATTCTCTTGTAAGGAAAAAAAGTATGTAATATTCTGCTTTTAGACTCTAAAGTTTTTAATCCAGCCATGTTTTATCAGATCACCATTCTATAGTTTATGGCTATGGTGATTCCAGTTTTCATTCCTTCTTTTCTTGCCTTCATTTATTCTTCCTCAGTCAGGTTCTTTGACAGGTGTCTGTGAGCAAGCAGTTTGCTGCTCTCATAATGCTCTTTCTGTAGGTAAACTGCATGGCCAGCTGTATTCCTCAACCTTATGTATAGAAGGACTTTTTTCTAGCAGGTGCTAGAGTTCAGGGTAACTGCTCTAACCATGGCTTTAAGAGTCAAGAGCTGGAACAGAATTCTCTGAAGCTGTTTGTCCTTCCAAGTTGCAGAATTTAGAATCTGTCTCTTATTTGTTCAGAGACCCTGGGAAGTAGAGGTCAAAGGAGTGGGAAATGATGGTTGTGAAACCCTCAGTTGAGACTTCCACTTAAGTCAAGGGAATTTCTTAGTTCTTTAAAGAACTGTATAAGGGACTGTGTGTAAAGTTCTAGGAGGCAGAATGGGACTTGAGAGTTTGGGCTTTGACTTAACCTTACTTGAGCTTTTCTCTGAGCTCTAACTCCCATTAGATTCATGCTGCCCTTGTTACTTTTGGTCCAAACTATTTAGTCTGGTGACCTGCTTCTGAAGAGAAAACACAGAAATGGTACAGAATCCTTGCCTCACTGAATAGACGCCACGGGGCTAGACAGAATGTCTCAGAGAAGTAGATAGTAGAATTAATGGTGACCTTAGAGATTTGCCTCACTGGTATGGGAAAAGTTTTAGCAAAGAATTATAGCACGTTACCAGAAGGTCTTCTGAGACGTGAAGGAGGGTTAGAAAATGCCATTTGACAGCATTCTTTATTATTATTCGCTTGATATGAAACGCTTGCTAACCTGTATTTTTGGTTTGCTAAGATATGTTTTGCTGTATACTTTTGTTGCAAGAACAATCCCTACATATGCTTCTGACATAATTCTCTATGCTTTTTCCCCATCCTTCAATATTTTCCTGCCTACAGCTGTTAGGAGACTCCAGGAGCAAGGTACCAGTGCTTTAACTTTTGTTTTACAACTTTATTGCTTCTGTTGCAAGTATGCTTCTTTTAGAAGCTAGTGAAAACAAAAAACATATGGTATAGTATAGAAATCCTGGTTTATATGATTTTGTTGAATCCTAACAGTGATTCACCATCATTGTTGCCTCATGGTGGAGTCAGTCACCTTTCATGTATATCTGTTTCAGTATTTATTTTAAATGTCAAGCTCTGCTGCTGCTGCTTCTAGTAGTGTTTCATTTTATTAACGCAATTTATGCCTATTCTTATGTCGTCATGATTTCATGAATGGATTTATTAACATTTTTCTTATTTTAGGAGTCTGGTTTATGTGTGACCATGTAATTTGTTATCCAAACAAAAATGCTTTTGGGAGTAAAAGGGGGATGCTATTAATAATTATGTTATGACGGTACACTTAAGGCAGAACAGTCCTGAGAAAGTTGAATTAATAATAATGTGCCGTATTATTAGAGAAGTGTATTTGTATGGTTTAAGCCAATAGCTATTTGTTTTGCTTTTTAAAATTCTATATAGTTGCTGTTATGTCATGTTTATGGGTATAACAGTTTTGTATTCAGGGTCAGTGAAATGAATAAAGTGGGTATTATAGTCTACTTTGAAAGAAGCCTATTCGTGTTTCAAAACCCTAAATCTTTAATGCAAGTGGCCAGGAGTTTGAAACCAGCCTGCACAACAGAGGGAGATGAACTGCTTCTGCCACTGACATTTCAAATTCTGGCTTTTATAGGAAACATAAATATTCAGAAAAGTTTGCCCATAGACTGTGCCCAGGATATATTGCTTTTGACTGGGGAGGGACTGTAGGCTGCGCAGATTTGCAGTGTTCCAGGTGCCCAGCTGGAATATTTAACATGTAATTTTATTTAATCCTCACAACAAGCCTGTATGATAGGTATAACTATTGTTGTCTTAAAGATGGGGAAACTGCAGCAAAGTGCTTTGGAGGCTTTCAGAAGTCACACAGCCCAGTCAGTGTTGGCACCAGGATTGTGATCTGTCTTCCCGTAAAGTCCACACACTTTACTAGAGGCCACACTCTTTCCCCTCTCCTACAGAGCGCTTTGCTTCTTAGTTATGTTACCTAATGGAAAACTGCTTTTCTGTTTTCATTTCCCTAATCTACAAGCACAGGAAAAGTGTGTCTGTGCATGTGTCTTTTTACAGTTAACTCTTCGTTGTAGATTTTGTTTGGTACGACTCACGGTCATTTCACCTTTCTATTTCGTCCTCAATCACTCCCATCCCTCATTGAACCTGTCAGAAGAAGCCTGTGAGGAGGAGGTATGAGCCGTATGGCATGTATTCTGACGATGATGCCAACAGTGACGCCTCAAGTGTTTGCTCTGAGCGCTCGTATGGCTCCAGGAATGGTGGCATTCCCCATTATCTGCGGCAGACCGAGGATGTAGCAGAAGTTCTCAACCACTGTGCTAGTTCAAACTGGTCAGAAAGGAAAGAAGGGCTTCTGGGCCTGCAGAACCTACTGAAGAGCCAAAGAACACTGAGGTGAGGACCACAGCAAGAATATGAGCTAAGTTTGAATCCCCTGTTAGACTCTTCAGGGGCTTAAAGGGATTCCCTATGATTAACGGAGTCTTCAAGAGGTCTACTTGCAGGAACCGGCATTTAGTCATCGTGATACAAGATGACTAAGATACAGTCCTTGCCATCCAGAGGCTTTGAAATATCTGGCAAATTTTTTTTTTTTTTTCTTTTTCTCCAGATGGAATCTCACTCTGTTGCCCAGGCTGGAGTACAGTGGTACGATTGTGGCTCACGGCAGCCTCCGCCTCCCAGGTTCAAGCGATTGTTCTGCCTCAGCCTCCCAAATAGCTGGGACTACTGGCATGTGCCACCACACCTGGCTAATTTTTGCATTTTTTAGTAGAGATGGGGTTTCACCATATTATTAGCCAGGCTAGTCTCAAACTCCTGACCTCGTGATCTGCCCACTTCAGCCTCCCAAAATGCTGGGATTATAGGCGTGAGCCACTGTGCCCAGCCCATGTGGCATATATTCTACAACTTATTAGGTTGATAAAACATTTAGGGTGGATATAGTGGTTCATACCTGTAATCCCAGCACTTTGAGAGGCCAGGGCAGGAGGAGCACTTGAGCCCAGGAATTTGAGACCAGCCTGGGCAACAAAGGGAGACCCCATCCCTACAAAAAAATGTAAAAATTTGCCGGATCTGGTGACATGCATCTGTAATCTCAGCTGCTTCGGAGGCTGAGGCAGGAGGATTACATGAGTCCTGGAGTTGGAAATTGGCAGTGAATTATGTTTATACCACTGTGCTCCAGCCTGGGTGGCAGAGCAAAACCCTGTCTCAAAGAAACAAAAAACACCAGACCACATATTTGGTTCTCTTATGTTTCATATTTGTCCAGTAGATACTATTTGAGAAATTTTGGTATACAGTATGCAATTCAAGTAGAACAGAAAACAAAAAAACAACTCTGCAGGTTAGTATGGTTCAATTATGCTTCAGGGTCCTGGATAAAATGTTTCAGTCTCAGTCTGGAAAATTTTGATATACGTGTGCATATATGTAGCTTATAAATGTACATACTAAGGAGGTAACAAAATGGAGCCCTTCAAAATAGTAACAGCATTGTCTCTTAGATGGATTGTTTTTGCTTTTTTCTTTGTTTCTGTTTTATAAATTTTCTAAAAATAGGCATGTATTGCACATACCAAAAAAGTATATGGTTATACCATATTTTGTCAAATCTAAGGCATCATAGACACCCTTATTTTTATAGCCCTCTAATAAATGCTGTATATTAAGTCATGACAGTACAAATATGTCTTTGATTATAAGATGACTCTCAATTACAGAGAAAGTTAAAACAAGAGGAAGGAGACGTGAATGGAAAGTAAGAAATGGGCAACTAGCCAGGCGTGATGGCTCACGCCTGTAATCCCAGCACTTTGGTGGGGGTCGAGGCAGGTGGATCACAAGGTCAGGAGTTCGAGACCAGCCTGGCCAGCATGGTGAAACCCCGTCTCTACTAAAACACACACACACACACACACACACACAACAAAAATTAGGAAAAAAAAAAAGGAATGGGCAACTTAGAATACATGAAATGCAATCTACTTTATCCTTTGGATAATTTTTGTAAGATAAATTAGCTGTCATAGATGGGAATTCCTCTTGGGTTCTGGAAAGCAAAGTGGGCACTGGCTAATGAGTTGCCCAGCCTCACTGTGGCTCCTCAGTCTGACTCCACCCTCCTGTACTCTAATCTGCCCCACATTATTCGTCTGTTCGTGAAGATAATACAGGAAGTTTTGTCATGTGCCTTCTGAAATGCAGGCATCCTGTGACACTCTGGTGACCTGTCAGAAACAAAACATGATTTATGGCTATTGTTCCTCAAGAATGCGTTTAATCCTGGTGGTCCCACTTTGTAGATTCTTAGTGTTCACCAAGTACCCACTGAGTAATCTCTAGACATCTGTTGATCGGCATTAGTCTAATCTAGGTTGCATCGTTAACAGTATTGACGGGTCCTTGAACCAACTGTTTATCCACATAAAAGGGGGTGATTACTCAGGGATGATTGACTAAAAAGAAGACCTTTCTCTCAAACTTTAAACATGGGACTCAGTGGTAGTCAAGGACCAGAAAAGGCAGTGGGCACCAATGTGAAATGAGTGTTTGCTTTGTCCTAGGAACAGTAGAAGGTACAATGTGTCATCTTTTTTAATTCTCTCAGCAACCACGTGACATAGTTCTTATCCTGTTTGACCAATGAGGAAAAACACAGGCTTAAAGATAGCAGAGTACTTTCTTACTTATTTATGTATTTTTGAGATGGAGATTCGCTTGTCTCCCAGGCTGAAGTGCAATGGCACGATCTCGGCTCACTTGCAGCCTTCACCTCCCAGGTTCAAGAGATTCTCCTGCCTCAGCCTCCTGAGTCACTGGGATTCCAGGCACCTGCCACCATGCCCCACTGATTTTTGTATTTTCAGTAGAGACAGGGTTTCATCACAGTGGCCAGGCTGGTCTCAGACTCCTGACCTCAGGTGATACACCTGCCTTGGCCTCCCAAAGTACTGGGATTATAGGTATGAGCCACAGCACCCGGCCCAAAGTGCCTTATTTACAGCAGAACTGAGATTAAAATCCAGGTCTGTCTGACCCTGAAACACATGCTGTTCTGTTTTTCCCCTTTTTTTGTTTTTACCTCTCGTCACAATGCAGGATAGACATGCTTTTTAAAAGTTTATTTCATTGCTTTTCAGTTGTGGCATGTGGAAAATACAGCTGGGATAAAATGAAAAGGATTTGGTGCATAGCTTTGTCACTTCCAGATATGTGAGCTTGTACCCACTCAGTCTCAGTTTCCTCATCTTAAGATGAGAGCAAATCTCTTGTTTTATCTTCCTGTTTGATTTAGCCATAAATAAGAGTTTGTGAAAAGACATTGTTATGTAGATATAAATTATGTAAAGCTTACATAGTTGACTGATCAAAAAAATTAGCCAGGCGTGGTGGTGCGGACCTGTAGTCCCAGTTACTCGGGAGGCTTAGGTGGGAGGATGACTTGAGCTTGGGAAATCAGGGCTGTAGTGAGCTATGATTACACCACTGCACTCCAGCTGGGGTGATAGAGTGAGACCCTGTCTCAAAAATAATAAAAGTAATAAATTCATTGATTTCCGTTTTATTTCTTCTAGTCGAGTTGAACTGAAAAGATTGTGTGAGATTTTCACCCGGATGTTTGCTGATCCTCATAGCAAGGTAAGTCTGGAAGTCATGCCTGCCTTATCTTCCCCCCTGCATGTCTGTGAGCTCTGTGTGATACACTACCCAAGAATGAGAGAGAATTCCCTGTAGTGCAGTTCCGACCTTACAGAGTAACACCAATTTCAGCACTAGTTTATGTTACACCTTTTAAAAACAGAATTCTTGGAAACTTAAATGTACATAAAATTTAAAGTTAAATAAGTGTACTTCAAGTAAGAGTTACCGTGGAGAGAATCAGATGGTCTTTCTTATATTTTTGTATGTCTCCTGTTAGCCAAACAGTGAGGTAGGTGCTAGGGTTATATAAGATTATGTTATAATGTCATGCATGTTTTGATGTTAGAGTAATGAAGAAAAATAAGTATATAATTATTTTTGTATCGATATATCCTCATAGGACAAGATAGAAAAATGAAAGTAATTTAATGGATTTATTGGAAAACCAGGTTATTTCTTAAAATAGGATTTTGCTGTTCCCAAGAACTTGCTGAGTGGTGATCACTTAACTGGTGCCCACACCTCCTGAGGGCCAAAGGGAACACTAAGCCCAAGGAATGCTTTTTTTTTGACAAGGGAGTCCCAGCTGAGGGGGAAACACCCATGAGTATGGGACAGAACACTTTCCAGGGGTGAGAGAGGGACACTTTACAAAAGTTTACTTGGAGTCTAGATTTTAAATAAATACCATTATTTGGGAGAAGACCCTTAGAGACTATCAGATACTTTTAAAGGAAAAAAGTGGAGAGCAGGGTGAAAATATAGGGAAAGGGGTAAAGGCCAGGAGTGAAGTGTAGATATCGATAGAACCTTAAATAAGCAGAAGGAGATCTTTAATGCTGACATGCAGGATTAACTACAGTTTTCCTAGTAAAGATGGTCTCCTTCAAGTCTTGCCAGAAGAAAGAAACCCGTGATGGCCAGAAAGCCCAGCCAGTTACTGTCCTTGAAATATGAAACATTGATCCACCCATTCATTCACCCAGTCATTTAACATTTACTGAGTACCTGCTCTGGGGCAGGGATACAGAAAGCAAGATACGGCTCCAGCCTTTCGAGGGTGCTCATGAGAGTAAAGGGGAGTGAATGCAAGGGTTCTCCTCCCCTTCTCCTACAACAGCTCTCCTCACTATCAGTCTTGAAGCATGTCTTAAATTTTCTGCTATGACCCTCACAGCAAAGTCAACATTAACAATATTAATAAAAATTCCCCAGGCGCTCATGCCTGTAATCCCAGCACTTTGGGAGGCCAAGGCAGGCAGATCACTTGAGATCAAGAGTTCAAGACCAGCCTGGCCAACATGGTGAAACCCTGTCTCTACTACAAATATAAAAAAAAAAGCTGGGCGTGATGGCATGTGCCTGTAATCCCAGCTACCCAGGAGGCTGAGGCAGGAGAATCACTTGAACCTGGGAGGTGGAGGTTACAGTGAGCTGAGAATGTGCCAGTGTACTCCAGCCTGGATAGCAGAGTGAGTCTCAATAAAAATCCAAGAAAGACTGAGCCTAAAGACCACATAGATATCCAAAGATAAAATTTATCAAGATTTTTCTCTACGGTAGTGTTAAAAGCAGTACGATTTAATGCATAAGCATAATTAGTCTTAAGATTTATAAGGTAAGAGCTATTAGATGGTTTAGGACATTGATAAATTTCTGTTACCTGTCACCCCTAGATTGCCGATTCAGAAGCAGAATGTGAGGATAAAGAAGGAAATTTGTTTCCATCAGAAGTCTCTTGTACAGTGAGTTTGGAGGTCTCAGTTTAGTTAATATTTTTAGCTGCCTGTAAGCCAAGCCAGGAATTCCATAGCTAAGGCTGAATGACCTTTTTCCTGAGCTGTCTCACAGGCGACCCCTGGTGGTGAATAGTTGCTGTGCTAGAAATGAGGTGCTATAGGATTCCTGGGTTGTCCAAAGTAGAACAAGTTTCATTAACGAGGTAGGAAAACGTGCTCGTTTCGGCAACACATATACTAAAATTGGAACGATATAGAGAAGATTAGCATGGCCCCTGCGCAAGGATGACACGCAAATTCGTGAAGCGTTCCATATTTAAAAAAAAAAAAAAAAAAAAAAACATGTAGGGAAAGTCAGTGCTACCTTTCTCTCTGAAATTGGTTCAGAGATATTCCACTATGGATTCTGTTTCACCTAAGCAAAAATCATTACACAACAGCATGAGAATTATGTTAATATATTTTATTCTAAGCTGTAATAATCTATTACTTTATAATATCTGAAATAGGCATACATCAAAATGTCTGATTTGAAAAGCAGTAGCTACACAATAGTGAGTAGGTGTTTTTATTAGCTCATTTTATAATAGCGTTTGTTAACTGTTAAATAGTGAGTAAGAATAGCATTAGGACGAGGATTTGTTGTTTAAGAAAGAAAACATTCAGGATTAAGATAGTTAATTTCTCTCTGTACTGCCTTTTAAAGGCTTATATTGAGGGAGGAGAGAATATTTCATCTATTTGTAGCCTTTTCAGGTTTTCTTTAAAAAAAAAAAAAAACAACAACGCATGAAAATTGTATTAATTCACTGCCAACTAACATGGAATTTGTTTTGTTGCATGGCCTGGTTTGCGGTGGAATTCACAACAGAGAGTAAGTTCCATTCCTTTTTCCTTTATCTGTTTTCTGCACTACATTTTCCTTCTGTGCTACAAACAGTCGTTAACAGGGTTAACCTAAGTTACAAGAGGCTGGGCAAAGCACGCATGGGCATTTTGAATGTTTTGTAGGCTTTGGAGGAAATTGTGAATTCAACATATGAAGTACTTGGTTTTCATCTGTGTCTAGGTTTTCAGTATGTTTTTGGAGACTCTTGTGGATTTTATAATAATTCATAAGGATGACTTGCAAGACTGGCTTTTTGTTCTTCTCACACAATTACTTAAGAAAATGGGAGCAGATTTACTTGGATCTGTGCAAGCAAAAGTCCAAAAGGCTCTAGATGTCACCAGGTAAGTGTTTAAAGGTTAGGTCCATTTGGATATTGCAGAACTTGCAGGTAACTTTTTGCCATGGCCTTTGTCACCCACTTGAATGTCTGTTACTCAGTTCTCATGTTCTTTTGTTGACGTATTTGTTGACATCCCACCAATCCATGAGATGAAATACCATATCATCTTAGTGTTGATATTACTTTTATGAGTATTTAAGACCTATGTAATAAACAAATGTAAAACTTTAGAACTTCTCTTCTCATTAAAAAACATTTAAAGAGAACATTTAGAATATTTGTTTACATTTTTCTGAGACCTTAGTATTTTTATTACTTCAACTTAGAAGTCATGTTAGAGATTTTTTTTTTTTTTAAATCAGTGTATCATGTGGAAAAGTCTAAATTGATAGTACACTGGCTCAGAGATTTGCACATTTGCAGTAGTTGTGACACTTCTAGCTTTTATGAGAAAAGAAAAGCTGCCGAAGCCCGGGAAAGTTAGAGAAAACTACATGCTGCTGCTGTTCAGAAAACTCTTCTCTCTTGTTTATGCAGTTGTGGGTCCTCAGCATGCAAGTATGAGAATTAAAAGATCTCAGAAGACACTTTGCAATATCTTGGTTGTGATTTGATGGAAGATGGAGGGGGGAATGTCAGATTGGTGAACTTTTTTAAAGAACAAAGAAATAACTTCCAAATCACTCAAAAATTATCAGGGCAATTACTTTTATAATTTGCTACAAACTGAAATAATTCTAGTTATAGAATTTCAAGATGGAAGGACCTTAAAGGTGATGTTCATTTTATCAGTGAGAAACAGACACTTTGCCTTAACTTTGTGTTAGTGGCAGTTTAGAAACTAAAATCCAGGATTTTTGATGATTGCTCTGTTGTCTGTTCCTGTTGTTGCAGGCTGTCTTGTGGGTGTGTGTCCTCACCTCCTGTGGAGATAGTGGGTGGTACACATAGCACTAGAACGTAGAACCTTCTCTTTCTGGCTCCCTTGACTAGCACAATAGCACATCCTGCCCTGCTGGCCATCCCCTATGCATGCAGCTGTTACTTGACCCTGACTTCAAAGTATGCATCTATTCCTCTGCACTGTGATGCCAGCTGTTTTCTTATGGCCCTTGACCCTGTCAATCTGTGTAATTGCATTGCTGTAGAATTCTATTACCCAGAGAGATTTCCCTTCTGGTTTTCAGTGAACTCAAAGTAATGTACTTGTATCTGTTGGTGAGGCCATAAAAAAGGAGTAATAATAAAATAAATAAATAAAATTAAAGTAACATACTACATTTGCAATAAAGCTTGGAAACTTCATCATTCCTTTGCATGGTTAATTTTAGTGGAGTTAGTTAGGGAGCATTACAGTACACCATTATACCAATGGATTATAAAGGTGTAGCCCAGATTGACTGAGGGGCTAGGCTGATAAGCTGGTATCACTAAGTGGAGTAGATAGGAGGGTTGTTGATAGGCTGGGGCCAGTTGTGGCCATGTTGGGACATGGGCTCAGTAGTACCAGACTTTTCAAGAAAGATCAGAAATGTGGATTTGGGCAACATATTCGAGAATTTTCTAAGATACTATGAAGGCCAAGTAAAACACAAGTAAGCCAGGCTTGGCCTGTAGATCACTTAATTAAGCTGAATGTACCAATGACCAGATCCACTTACATTTTTGAGAATGGTAGGAGTATTAAGTTTATATTCCTAAACTTTGATGATTAAGGAATACAGTGGTGACCTCCTGTTAGTTTTCCTTTAAGAGTCGTAGTCTCAGTAGATTTGGTCTGAGTGCCTGAAGCATTTTTAACATTCCCTTCTTTTTCTCAGCAGTTGAGATGCACAGCTCTTTAAGCTGATCTCGAATCAGTCAGTGACTATTAATAGGAGGTTTTAGTGATGGCTGAGAATTGCTTCTCAGTTTATAGACTTGAGTGCTAATCTGCCTCAGTTTCCTTTCCTTTGGTTGTACCTAACAATGGCATATTTTCTGATGATACACACCCATTATTGAAATGTATTCTCCATCCACCCCATACTGCCAGAAGAAGGGAGAGACATTTTGTATGTGTTTTGTTGACATAGTCACTTAAATCATCTATGCTTAAGTATAGTTTCCTTCCTGAAGTGATCTTCAAAGATTCGAAGTTACAACTAGATGGTGAGAGGAAGGGGTACTGTTGGATCAAGTTTACTTTTTATTAGTAATTATAAGGATGATGATACTGGTACCTAATATGTGCCATGTGCTTTTTATTTTTGTTGTACGATTTTATTTACTTTTCAAATCAATTCTATTTGCTTCATTTTAGAGAGTCAAACCTGTTTCTTTACTTATTTTACTATACTTATGTAGATTGGGAAAAATCTCTAAGAGAGTCCAAAGAAAGCAATGTAGATATTTGCCTTGCATTTCTCTCTCTTCTTAATATGGAAATTATATCACCATTATCCACAGGGGCTCCATTGTGCAATTTTAAACTAATACTGGTAATTACAGCATTTTAACAGAAAGAGCACTGACTCTCTGGCTGAGAGCGCCTGAGGGTTACTTGATTGGATCAGAGATGCATGATGAACACAAGAAATAAGATCAGTAACAGGCAAGAAATGGATCAAGAGAAGGGGCTCCTGGGACTCCAGGCTCCTGTGTGTGATTTGTAGCTGGACGAGAAATGTTTTGTGTCACAGGCATTCTTCTGTGGTATCCAGGGACCCTGAGTGGTGACCAGGACCAAGGGTGACAGTACGGTTAGTTTAAGCAGAGTCAGCCGTAAGCAGCCCAGTCAGTATGTAAAAATGAGATTTGGGTATCAGAGGTGATTTTTATGTTTAATCAATATCCAGAAAGGTAGCTGGAGGGAAAATGAGCAAATCCCTAGAAAGGCAGGTAGAAATTTCTTCCTTAGTTTATTGCTTAGTCTTAATTTTTTAAATAGCTGCTCAGAATAAGTTCAGTTTATGTTTGGGGATTTGAAACAAGATTTTCCTTTTTCCAGATTTTCCTGTATAACGTGTATTACTTTACATAAAATGAAAAGCACTATTTATTAAAAATGTGAACAGGGTTTTACATATATTAATCCATAATGGTATGCTTTTGTTAAATAGTTAGACATTGTTTTGTAATAAATTTCTTTTAAAATGAGCACTTTTCCCCCTGCCCCAACCTAGGGACTCCTTTCCATTTGATCAACAATTTAACATTTTGATGAGATTTATTGTGGATCAAACTCAAACTCCAAACCTCAAGGTCAGTAATTACTTGTCATTACAATTCAACCCTGGAACTTGAATTTGCTTAAATTTACTTTTGTTTATAAGTGACTCATGTTTAGCTATTGTGAATAAATCTGCTGTGACATTCCTGTTTGATTCTTTGTGGATATGTTCTTGTTTTTCTTGGTTAAGTACCTAGCAGTGTATTTGCTGGTGCATTGGGTAGGTATATGTTTAGCTTTATAAGAAATTTCTCTCATGCCTATAATCCCAGCACTTTGGGAGGCCGAGACAGGTGGATCACGAGGTCAAGAGATCGAGACCATGCTGGTCAACATGGTGAAACCCCGTCTCCACTAAAAAATACAAAAACTAGCTGGGCATGGTGACGCACGCCTGTAATCCCAGCTGCTCAGGAGGCTGAGGCAGGAGAATTGCTTGAACCCAGGGGATGGAGGTTGCGGTGAGCTGAGATCGTGCCATTCCACTCCAGTGTGGGTAACGAGCGAAACTCCGTCTCCAAAAAAAAAGAAATTTCTAAGATGGTTGTACCATATTGTATTCCTACCAGCAGTGTATGAGAGCTCTAGTTTTCCTACATCCTTACCAGCATTTGGGCAGTACTATAGTCTTTTTCACAAGTAATATTTAAACTAGAAAATTAAGACATTCTAGTATGTAGAGATAGGTATCTTATTGGAATATTTAATACTAACATTCTAAGATGTGAAAGTTAATTGTTAGATGTTGTGGAAAATCTTACCCGTAGTAACAAGACCAAATTTGAGGGAGGATGTGTGTTAATTTGAATTAGGTCACGTTCATCGTCTATTCTTTGATCATTAACTTTTTGGAGGTTTTAGGATGAGCCTAATAAATAATTACCTTTTTCTCCTGAGGTCAGAACTAGTTGAGAAGTTGATGGTAAAGTTAGGGCAGAACATGAGCTGGATTACTGAAAGTGCTGCCTTATGGAACATGGCTTAGAATGTGTGGCAGAACTAGAGTTGAACTTGCCCTGTGGTCAGTGGCAGAGCTGGAAATCCCATGGGCTCCTGCCCTGGAAGTGTCTTGCAGCATAGATGAGGAGCAGAGCATGCCTCTCTACAGGCACCTAACGATGAAGAAGACTGAGCCATGTGCCCCTTCCTGTTCCTTAACTTACCCATCAGTCATTTCATGCTTTCCCCCTGTTGGATGTTGCTCCACGTGGAAACAAATCCAGGAGAACGGAAAGAGGTTCCCCTCAACAGCGTTTACTTTTCTCTGGTACCTGATAAGAATTCTTTTCAAAGATTCATCAAGTGTACTTAATGTTTATAATTATTGGCTCTTTCAGGTCAAAGTTGCAATCCTGAAATATATTGAGTCTCTGGCCAGACAGATGGATCCAACAGATTTTGTAAACTCTAGTGAGACAAGGCTTGCTGTTTCTAGAATCATAACCTGGACAACAGAACCAAAGAGTTCAGACGTGAGAAAGGTATGTCCAAGAGAGCTGATGCATAATTACAGACTGTTCCTGGGCTTGTGTTAGAGACATGCGTTTAGAAACTTGCAAACCACACCACCCACCCACAGACTTCTGCCACTCAGCCTCCGCTGTTGCTCTCTTCTCTCTCCGGCTCTGCCTAGTTTTGAATATAAAAATGAAAGTCTGAAATGTTGCACTATTGGCCTATGGTTTTCCCACGCATCTATTTTATGTATTTTGTAATAAGAAATCACGAGTAAATTAGTGTCTTTTACACAGATGTTTGTTTTCCTTATATCAGTTTGTAATATGTACTTTAAAGATGAAACTGCAGATCTAGGGCTAGCTGGCTGCAGGGTTCCTGATCGTAAAATGTGGTTGAAAAGCTTAATAAGGTGTAATAGATTCTTAAAAAAGAGCAAACATCTTCCAATATGTGGCACATAAGTATGCGTGTGATATGTGAGTATGTGCTTTTGCAATGGAATGTTACTTAAGTATTGCCTGCTATGGGTTGAAACATGTTTTAGATTCACATATTACCTCAATTAGGGCCCGTGTGGGACAAACTAGCTTTGATCATAGTGCCCACTCTCTGTGGACCTGCACATTAGAATATTTGAACTAGGACTTACTGTCCTTACTGTTCTAATCGGAACATTACATTCAATTTCAAATTATCAGCCTGAGGCTCCAAAAACCTCAATTTATTTTAATCCTAGCTCAAGCCAAATATAAATAGGAAATTAGATTTATTGCCAGAAATCACTTCGTTCATTTACTGTTTGAATGAGCGTCAACACTTGCTTTCAGTTATTTTGGATTATACAGTGTTACTTCACAAAGCTTTGTCTCCGCTGGCATGCTACTTTCCATGCCTGCCCCTTCTCCTTGCCCATTGTGAGGTCTCCTTAACTCCTCACCTTCACACCTAACTTACACTCAGGTTCAAGGACAATGATCCTGATCTTCAGAGGAGTTTGAGAAGATTTAGATTAAGTTCACAGTCCTGGCTGCAATTAAAATCGATGTTGATTTCTGAGCTCTGTTCCCAAGTAATTTGATTTAGTTGGTATAGGGTAGAGCCTAGACACACTGTTGTTTTTTTTGGTTGGGGTTCCTTTCACTTGTGACTGATTTTTCATGCACAGACAAGGCCCAGTATTTCATGCCATGGCCCTGGAATGAACCTCAAGACATACACACTGCTGATACAGTGTTGGTCTGGTTGCCGCAAGTTCCCTTGCTACGCAGTGTTGCTTCACAGTATCTTCAGGACTAGTTGACCTCTCTGTTCCCTGGCATCTTCCCCACCTCCCTCCTACCTTGTACCTAGAGTTCTTGTACTTCCTCTCCAGGCGTCCCCAAACTGCGGCCCGCGGGCCCCTGAGGCCATTTATCCGCCCCCCACCCTCCGCCGCACTTCAGGAAGGGGCACCTCTTTCATTGGTGGTCCGTGAGAGGAGCACAGTATGTGGCGGCCCTCCAACGGTCTGAGGGACAGTGAACTGGCCCCCTGTGTAAAAAGTTTGGGGACGCCTGCTCTAAACCCATTCTAGTGGTTAGGGCCCTGTTATCTTGGGCACCTTTTTCAAACTGATGGAATACCTGCCTGGTTTTCTGTATATTATTAGCTCAGTGCACTCTGTATTGATCATAGAAAGCTTCCTAGAGAAGACAAGATTCATCCTCAGATGTGGAATATGGATGCAGTTTGCATAAGTGATGAGGTCAGGGGAGGGACAGTAGTCATGTGTAGGAAATGAGGTTTGTCTGAAACAGTGAAATAGACTGAAGTAGAGGGTTTGGGAAGTTGAGCAGTAAGGAGAATGTTTTACTCACCCTGCATGCTCAGTGCCTGGCATATACCTGGAGTAACATAGTAGGCATTAATAGATATTTTGAATGAATTAATGAATGATAAACACCCATATGGAAATTATTTCACTTCAAATGATACTTGAAGCCATCATTTTTTAAACTATAGATTTGGAAGTTCCCTTCTTTTGACTTCTTTATTTGTTACCTATTGTATAACAAACTTCTACTTCCTTAGCTTGAAACAAGACAGATCTGTTATCTCACAGTAATAAATCAGGAACCTGGCGTGTGTTCTCTGGGCCTTCTGGTTAGTGTCTCAAAGGCTGATATCAAGATGTCATTTGGCTCTGCAGTCTCATATGAGGCTGCGGTCTTCTTCCAGCTCATTAGCTCTCGGCAGATTCTAACCTCTTACAGGTGTACTGAGCTGCCTGCTTTCTGGTTGAATATCAACGGGGGGAGCCATTCTCAGCTAGTAGAGGCTGCCAGGAAGTTTGCTTGTTTAAAGCCATCAGGAAAATATATGAAGAAATAATATCTAAGAAAATCCCCAAATTTGATGAAAAACATTACCCATCGAAGTAGCCCAACAAACTAAGATTTTTTTTTTTTTTTTTTTTTTTTTTTTGAGACGGAGTTTCGCCCTTGTTACCCAGGCTGGAGTGCAATGGCGCGATCTCGGCTCACCTCAACCTCCGCCTCCTGGGCTCAGGCAATTCTCCTGCCTCAGCCTCCTGAGTAGCTGGGATTACAGGCACGCGCCACCATGCCCAGCTTATTTTTTGTATTTTTAGTAGAGATGGGGTTTCACCATGTTGACCAGGATGGTCTCGATCTCTTGACCTCGTGATCCACCCGCCTCGGCCTCCCAAAGTGCTGGGATTACAGGCTTGAGCCACCATGCCCGGCCTAAGATTTTTTTAATAAAAGGATCCACTACGCAGACACATCATATCTAACTATTGAAAGCCGAAGAGAGAGTCCTGAAAGCAGCAAGAGGGGAGCAACTCATCCTGTGCACGAGATCCTCGATGAGATTAAAAGCTCATTTCTCATCAGAAACCACAGAGGACAGAAGGGAGTGGATGACATTGAAAGGGCGGAAAGACAAAAAGCTGTCAGCCAAGAATTCACGATTTGGCAAGACTCTTCTTCAAAAACAAAGGAGAAATTAAAACAAAGCCAGCCGTAGAATCTCTCTCATTTTGAATCCCTCTGATGCCTTTTAAGGACTTGCCTGATTAGGTCAGGCCCACCCAGGATAATCTCCCTTTGGAATAACTCAAAGTCAACTGATTAGGGGCCCAAATTACATTTTTGAAAATCCCTTCTGCCATGTAACACAATCATGGAAGTGATATCCATTATATTCACGAGTCCCACTCACTCTGAGGGTGGGAGGGATTATATAGGGCATAATACATTTTGAGGAATCTTGGGGACCATCATAGTGTCTTGACTACCAGAGCTTTGGTGTCTCTTTTAGTGGGTTGGCAGAAGGCTTCCTAGTTACTTGATAATTCCCTCGCTCTTATTTTAGGAGGGAGCTTTTTTACCTATCTCTGCAAATTGTGATATGGTTCAACTTACTTATCAGATGCATGTCTATATTCTGGCACCCTCTAGATTTTTTTTTTTTTTTTAAATCATCCAAGATGTTTGTGTCTCTAAACTATTTGGCTTTCAGTAGGCATTCAACACTAACTAGTAAAGCATTACTATTTGATTCAAATAGGCATATCATAGCATAGTATTAAAATAGATGTCCTCAAACTCTACATTAGGACACTGCAGATTAATCTTTTTTGGAGGTATATTCACTTTTATTTAAATTCCCTGTTTTGATGTACCATCCATTGGACATTTATAAATATAGTTGCTTTTCTAAGTGATGTAGCTGCCTTACCCAAGAATATGAGATGTTCTTGAGGCATTGTCAAAATGAATGTAGTGCCTAAACAAATTAAAATACTTAGAAATCTTGATATAGTATATATCACTGTTCTAAGATCTAAAATTATCATTATCGTTTTAAAGCTGTATAAAAATAAAACTAGGACCATTCCTATCTAGATAATTTTACACACTAAATGTAAAATACATGTCTGTATAAATAAACTTTGTTCTGCTTAATCCTTCATTTCCAGAGTTTTTTAACATTCTATCAGGGATTATGGAAATCTTGGTCATTTTTAAAGCATGTTGTGTTCTTAAATGAAGTTCTGTTAATGTCCTGCTTTAATTGTCTTAGGGTAGGGTTATATTCTAAATGCAGAAGAGCCCTCCAGTCTGAAATGTATACAGTAAATTCTCAGACTCATCTCTAGAGAATGTTTTATGTAAACAGTACCTGAGAACTTTTTCAGACAACATAATTCACTCTCTAAGTCCATACAACTGTATTTGTGAAAGCACTTTTGAAGCATTTTAGATGAATACAAGTTGATATAGCCCAAATTCATTGATTTTAGCTTTTTAAAATATTTTGTTTTTCTTCTTAGCTCAGTATGTTGTAGTGTTTTACATTGTGGTGGGAGGGGTGCTTAAATTGTTAAGATGTTTTTAAAACCAAAACACAATCACCAGTGAGGTGTGCTTACCTCACTGAGACTGGTTTGGACAAGATGAAAAAGCCCAGCCCAGTCTGTAACTGCCCTGCTTTATTCTAAAAGTCAACTCTTCCATTTCCTCATTGTGGGATACCTGAGTGGTTTAGTTGTATGATGTAACTGTGCAGACGTACACTAGCCTTTCTTAATGTACCTTGTTGACGTAAGGTAATAAAATATATTACTGAGAGAAAGAAGGTGGATTCTGGAGTTTGACCTCCATTTGATTTCTGCCTCTGCTGCTTAATTGTATGTTTACATTTTGGAATTTAGAATGCCTGTATGTTTGCTTATTATATGTGATTCTCTTTGTCAAATGAAGCAAAAGATTGAGCCCCCAAACCTTGTTTTGAGAAGTGTGGGCAGTGAAGGCATGGCAAAGAAACCTAGAATTATAAAGATGCTGTTGGCTAGAGCAGGGAGAAGTATTAATATATAAATAGCCTTGAAAAGTTAAGATTTCTAATTGACTTTAAAAAAATACATGATTATAAAGGCAGCATGCCTCTATTCTGAAAGCTAAGGATTTTACTATCAAATAACTGATTCTCAGCTTAACTGTGACTGTGAGTCTCTTTCAAGTCTTTTTTGTTGTTATTGTTAAGATGGAATCTCGCTCTGTCACCCAGGTTGGAGTGCAGTGACACGATCTCAGCTCACTGCAACCTCCGCCTCTGGGGTTCCGGTGATTCTCCTCCCTCAGCCTCGTGGGTAGCTGGGATCAGAGACACGTGCCACCACGCTCAGCTAATTTTTGTATTTTAATAGAGATGGGGGTTTCGCCATGTTGGCCAGGCTGGTCTCGAACTCCTACCTTGGGTGATCTGCCCACCTTGGCCTCCAAAAGTGCTGGGATTACAGGCATGAGCCGCGGCACCTGGCCTCTTTCAAGTCTTGTTTTGACGTCTTCCATTTCATCACCTAAAGCAAGAATACTACTTTCAGGATTATTAAGTAAAAGACCTAATGATATTACCGAGGGTTAAAACTGGTGGCTACTGTTATTATTCTGATTCTTCCTAACTTTCAGTCATGTGTGTCTCACTGATTTTATCTAAGAAGCCAAATGCTTTTACAGCTAACAGATTGCCATGGTTAGGCACTTTCTGCTTCTCTCTGATTCAATCCTCCCACCTTTCCTGTTTGCCAGTCCTCGCTTCAGCGTAGTCGAGTAGGTGAGGATTTCCCCACTAGGTCAGCTTCAACCTGCTCTGGGCCTGGAGAAGGAAACTTGGAAGAAAGTTGTAAACAGGTAGATTGAAAACTATGTACTAATTTCAAACAGCACACTTCACTGTTTGCTTTTCAGATTATTAATACCAGCTGCTCTTGAGAAGGCACTGGGAAGCTTTTGAGAAACCTAAAATTAATACTGTGTGAATGTGTGTATATGTGTGTCAGTGTTTGAGTGGTGGTGTGCTTCATGATTAACTACCTTCTCGGTGGAATAGCCATGTTTGTGTCGACAACTACCATGTATTAACAGAAGAATAAAAAGGAGAGATAGTAGGCTGGCACAGTGGCACATGCCTGTAGTCCCAGCTACTTGGTAGTCTGAGGCAGGAGAATTGCAGGATTTTCAAGGCTGCAGTGCACAGTGATCATGCCTGTGAGTAGCCACTGTACTCGAGCCTAGGCAACATAGTGAGACCCCATCACTTAAAAAAAAAAAAAGATACCAAATGAGAAATGTCTGACAGTTTTGCAATAGATTCTCTTTGGTGTCTTTATGAAGCAATTTTTAATGACAGTATGAAGGGAACAGTGAGTTGTTTAATAAATCGGAAAACTGCTTTTCCTCTCAAATTTCGTTTTCCCAAATTATTAGGAACACTGAAGTATTTGGCAAAGCGTTATTTTGCCCTGATCTCCTAGGAAGAATTCCTTTCTGCTATAAGGTGTGCAACATTCAAGACAGTTGATGTCCCTGGGAGTTCTCTTCAGACAGTAACAGTGAGATGTGAAGAACCTTTTACAAACTCCACCCCTCAAATTCTTCAATGAGAGGCCAGGCGTGGTAGCTCACGCCTGTAATCCTAGCTCTTTGGGAGGCCGAGGTGGGTGGATCACCTGAGGTCAGAAGTTCCAAACCAGCCTGGCCATCATGGTGAAACCCTATCTTAAAAAAAAAAAAAAAAAATTCTTCAATGAGGATGTGTGTGAGAATCATTTCATTTTAAGTTGCCTTTGAACCTTAAAATAAATTGCACTAGGGTTGCCCATTAGAAAATGTCAGCAGTACTCAGTATTTCATCTGGCTGCCTAATGGTCTTGCCTCTTACAAAGGCAACAGTGCAGATAGGCAGACAAGAACAATGGCATACTCCACTTTTTGAGTCACTAATGAACATGAGTGATGCCCCAGGCTTTTTCTAAATGCATCTCTCCAACCTAGTTCCATATCTGGAATTACTTGTTTAATGAGATCATATCATTGATGGTAGTGATAAAGATAACCCAGTTTTCCTCTTGCTTGGATTCCATATTTTAAACTATCACTAATTCAGAACGTTGGAAACAAAATATTTGAAAACCGTAACAGTCTAAATTCTTGTAAAACTGTGATATAAAATCTTTTACACATTAGATACTTAGGCTGGGCACTGTGATGCATGCCTGTAGTCCCAACTACTCCAGAGTCTGAGGCGGTAGGATCAGTTGGAGCACAGGAATTCGAGGCTGCAGTGCACTGTGATTGGACCTGTAAATAGCCGCTGCACTCCAGCATGGGCAACATAGTGAGACATCCATCTCGCTCTCTTTTTTTTAATGTATATTTAAATGAAACTTTCTACCAGTTTCTAGAACTTAGATCTTAATTTTAAAAGATATACTTGGCCGGGCATGGTGGCTCACGCCTGTAATCCAAGCACTTTGGAGGCCAAGGCGGGCGGATCACCTGAGGTCGGGAATTCAAGACCAGCCTGACCAACATGGTGAAACGCTGTCTTAAAAAAAAAAAAAAAAAAAAAAGTAAAAATAAAGAAAAAAAAAATTTTAAAAATAAAAGATTATACTTTGGAAACACTTTAAGCTACTAAGTTTATAATTTGCTTCATGAAAAGCCTCAAGTTAGCTTGTGACATTAGATAACATCATTCTGGGAAGAAATATTGTCTCTTAAATAAAGGCAGGGGCACATTTCACATAAAAAAAATACTGTTCAAGAATGCAATCATATATTTTATAACTTTCAAATGCCATTTTCAATCAACAAAATTTAAGTGGCTGTACTTTTAAATTAACTTGGTGGCATTGATGTGCTTTTCCTGCTACAATTCTAGGCTGCTGCTTTCTTTCTCCTTGTAGTACATTATTTTTCTGCATGCGTTGTTTTTTTCTAACACCTAATACAATGTTTTTTTAAAAATACACAGGTTACTTTGCATGAGTTTTGGAAATTGTTCTATTATACAAATATACATATCAAATTAATAGTATATTAAATTGATGGTGAAAATAAATAATTCCTTCAGATTATTTATTTAAAATGTTTCGAAAATGAAATATAGAAAAATGTATTTTAGTACAGTCAATAATGCTTTTTGCCCATGTCATAAAAATATTTTGACCACTTACGATTTAATTTGGGTGGAAAAGCTGTTTTAATGACTGTATTTGAAATTAAAGGGGAAAAAAGTATTGTGCTTTTTTTGCCCAATGTGCTTAATGAATGATTTCAAAATGTTAAAAAGTAATTTTTGATTATATTTTCAAATTTGTAATTCTTATTTTTGGTTAAATACCTTTGGGTTTTTGGATTTCTTTTCCTTCTCCATGGACAGAATAGTACTTTTGTCCTAACTGGACCTATCACTAATTTTAACATTGCAAAAGCATTGAAATATTTTGTGTTGTTTAATTCCAAAACTCTCTGCAAGCACATTTTTGTGTAATATTCTATGTCATGGAAAAAAATTCTGAATAATTATCACAATTTTAAAAATTATAGTCCTTGGAAAGACCATGTTCGTAAAGTCTTTGTGGTTAAAAATGATAAAGAGGTGATTGTATTAACTGAAATGGTTTTTTGTGTCTTTTTCTTGACTCTTAGAAATTAATAAGAAATGCCAATTAGTATTTGCTAAAAATTTTTTTGGCTTAGCTTTTGTAAATCAAAACTATTGTAATTAATTCCTCAGGCATTGTGCTTTAGGCTCAGATTGCCCGCTGCTAAATCTATAGAAAGCACATCACTTACCAGAAGCCATAGTCTCATTGACCACTGTTGTTTCAGCTCATTGCTTTGCCTACCTCGCTACCACAGTCATTACAAGCAGGCTTGCAGTGTGTTGACTCAATTAATAAACGAAAATAGAACATTTTCCAAAAGGCAGAAGAGCACGTTTTTAATGTCGACTCCTTTGAAGTCCAGTTTGCTTCTCAGAACCCTCTCTCCTTGGCTTATAGGTATAAAAGTAGAAGTTTTTCAGAGGTATTTATACTCTTTTTCTAGTGTTTCTTAGTAAAGAGGAGTGCAGTTCTCAAGATAACTTAATGCAGCATGTTCGAAAATTTGTGCTTTTAGGGTACACTGAAGTCCCTGTTCAGTTCTGAATTATTGAAGTAAGATCAATCTTAAACTTTAAAAAATTTTTTTTGTTTTATTTACCCATTTACCAGCTTCCTTCCTAGTACCATCCAACAAAAGAAAAGTTCTAGGAATTTATTATTAATATGCTGTGGAATTCCTAAGGCCAGGGCATTAAAATGAAGCCAGGGTTTATTTTCCAGGTTGAAGTCAGACTACTTAAAATCGACAATACTTTCTTCAGATGCCTTTTGTTTTTGATGCCTAGAATGCCCTCTTATTAGTGATTTTACTTATAAAAATATATTTTAAAAAACAATTTTAACTCAACATTGTGATGAAGGACCACTGTTGTACATTATATAAATTAATCATGGTTCCTTTTTCTAGGCAGCACAAATTGTGCTAATCTCTCTGTTTGAATTGAATACTCCTGAATTTACCATGTTACTTGGTGCCTTGCCAAAAACATTCCAGGATGGTGCCACCAAACTCCTGCATAACCACCTCAAGAATTCCAGTAACACCAGTGTGGTGAGTACTTTGGTCACGGTTGGTGCCTGTATGATGTCTGTGACCTCTGTGTAGCCCTTACCTAGAACCTACTGTAATGGAATAGCCCAGTTCCTTGTTCTCTTTTAGTAAATGTCAAGCATCCTGAGGATGGGGCCATCATAAGCCCAGTGAATGAATGAATCTGATATTTAAGTATAACCTTTTTTCTTAGGTTGTTCAGCTGCATTTTCACTAGGTTATCCAATTAGTCGTTCATTCACTGAGTTGGTCTTATTTTTCAACACTGTAAAGATGCAAATTCTCAGTTGTGTGTTTCACTCTAGCACAACCAACATCGATCATTCGACTCCAGGAGTGCCTGTATGATGATTATTCATTTTTGGTTCATATGCACTTAAAGTTGGCCTTACAATTCCGGAAAAAAAAAAAAAAAAAAAATACCATTCTGGGCAGATTCTACCCATTTATTTACATGTGGGTTAAAAGACCAAGGGAAGAATAGAGCAATATTCTATATACAGCCCTTGAACAACGATGCCTATTCTGCTTCACCTCAGGGCTCTCCAAGCAATACGATTGGCCGGACACCCTCCCGACACACCAGCAGCAGGACCAGCCCCCTGACCTCACCCACCAACTGTTCCCATGGGGGTCTGTCTCCAAGGTAAGGACACTCCTTTACTTTCCACAGAAGTAAAGAAACTAAAGCACTTAGTTGCAGTGCAGCCTATTTCTAAATTTTTAGACTAAGCTAAGTAACAAAAAAGAATATTGAGTATCAAGAACCATGGGTTTTAGTCCTCACTCAAATTGTAACTGTATAATCTTATGCAAAGATTATGCAAATCTTAACTTACCATCTTCTGTGGTGGTAAGATGAGTGGTGTGTGTTGAGTGTTCTCTGTGGTTCTTGTACTTCTAAACACTCACTATTCCCTAATAGTACCCTCAACTAAAAGTTTGCATTTAGTACTGTTTTACATAGAATCTATGTTACATAAAATCCAGCTCATTACCTGTTCTGCAAATGATAGAACCTGAAAGTATTTAGTCATGTAAGCAAACTTGTTACAGTCCGTTAAACCAAGTCTCAGGTAGTTTTTCAAGCAAGTGGTCATTCTAAACATAGTTGCTATCATGTTTGAAGCCAAATGCTGCTCTGAAAGACTGTGATTTAGAATCTGGGAACTAAAATTGAATCAACATTTCATACTCTTGTTGGCACCATGACCTTACAGATGCTGAGGCAGTGACTTAAAAAGAGAAACTACTAGCCAGGCACAGTGGCTCACACCTGTAATCCCAGCACTTTGGGAGGCTGAGGCGGGCAGATCACAAAGTCAGGGGTTCAAGAACAGCCTGACCAACATGGTGAAACCCAGTCTGTACTTAAAAATACAAAATTTAGCCGGGTGTAGTGGTGCACACGTGTAATCCCAGCTACTTGGGAGGCTGAGGCAGAATTGCTTGAACCCAGGAGGTGGAAGTTGCGGTGAGCCAAGAGCATGCCATTGCACTCCAGCCTGAGTGACAGAGCGGGACTCCGTCTCAAAAAAAAAAAGAGAGAGAGAGAAGCTGCTTTGTCTTGGGATCTTTAGATAATACTTCACTATCTGACCAGAGCTTTTAGAAGTCTGCATGGTCGCTTTAGTGAACCCCTCACATGGGCTGGAAGTTACCCGTGGCCCTACTCAAAGCAGTTGCCAGAATTTTTAGGAAAGAGCCAGTGTTTCAACCAGAAAGGGGCACACATGCTCGGTTTGACTACAAGACGCCTAACTCTTCGGGATCACTAACAATACAAACCAGGAAGCTTTTGTCCTGAGGAGTGCTGATACCAAGATCTTAAAATGAAATGAAAATACCACAGCATACTTTTTTCCCTTAATGGTTACTTCGTTCCTAGGAAGACCTAAAAACATAATTGCTTTTATATTTAGTTTTTTAAATGATCAAGAATCTCCCACACTTCTTCCTTATCACTGAAGTTTTCTAGTTCCTCATTTTCTTAAAATACTTTGGAACATAAGAAGTTTGCAGTTTGTTTTCTATACCTATCTTACCTTGCTGTTTAAATTGCCCTTATGTTTACTCCCCCAAATGTCCCTCTGCACTATATTTAGGTAGACTACAATATGATATTATGTCTCCAGATTTGGTCTGTGTTGTCTTGACTTCAGCAGGCTGTCCCAGTTAAGCAATTGAGACCAGAGACTAATGAAAATATGCTTGGCTTTCCCAGATGTGACTGAGGTTCAGCCATTTTTTTTCCTTATGCTGCCATCTGTATCTAAAGAATATGGTGGTCCAGTGATGACAGTAAAATCATAAAATTATCTTTCCTAGTGGAGAGAGTTTTGTGGAAAACTTGAATTCTCTGTAAATTGTTGTCTCTGTCTAGAAGAGATACTTATGTAACATTGATTGGGAAGTCTTTTCTCCCATAGTATATAGTTCATACATTTTATCTTTTAGTTACTGCATTCTTAGGGTACCACATTCTTTAGGTAATGAGTGGAAAGGTATAACTCAAATTAAGCATTTTATTATTATTTGTGCTACTAAGCTAAGTAAAAACTTGCTAGGGCTATTAGTATCATTTATCAGAGCTAAGAACTGGCTAAGTCAATCTTCATGGGTCCTCAAATCGTTAAAAATTTTGCTTTTCAAGGCCATTATTCCTTCTTAATTGGCCTCAATTTAATTTTTAGTTATAGTTACAGATCAGTAGAAGAAATGAAGAGATTTCTTTTCAATATTAAATAGTTCATGTGTGGTCTAAATATTTTCTTGTTATCAAATTCTTCTTTAGGGAATTATTTATGTAGTTTCTTTTTGGTAGAAAAAAATTCTTTGAAACTTGCCATCATTCAGTGCATGATGGCCTTAGCCAATTGGAGCTCACAGGAGAAATGATTTTTCTCGAAACTGAAACTGTCTAGCAGTGGTAAAAACTGCCTCATGTTATCATGTCAGTAGAACTATTCAAATAGGCTATGTATTTTCTAACAGGAAAATGATAGAAGATGTGGATTCTTGCACTAAATAGAACTGACTAAGTTACCTCATTCTAAGGAGACTGTAGACAGGTAGACAGATCTGTTGTATATAATCTCAGCTATTTTTCTGAACATTGCTCTTGAAGTGTTGATTTTCTTTGACCTGCCATTCCTTTGAGTTATCTTGATCAGACAGTGCTAGCTTTTTATTCTGTAGGGGAAAAGCTATTACCAGTTATTTGTTTTCAGTCAATTTTTTTTTCTTTTTTTTCTTTTTTTTTGAGACCAATTCTTATTCTGTTGCTCAGGCTGGAGTGCAGTGGCATGATCTCGGCTCACTGCAACCTCTGCCTCCTGGATTCAAGCAATTCTCATGCCTCAGCCTCCCAGGTAGCCAGGACTACAGGCACACACCACCATGGCCGGCTACTTTTTGTATTTTTAGTTGAGATGGAGTCTCGAACTCCTGACCTGAGGTGATCTGCCTGCCTCTGCCTTCCAAAAGTGCTGGAATTACTAATACAGTGAACCACTGCACCTGGCCTGTTTTTAGTCTATTTTAACTGTCAAAATGAACATTTTTAATCCAAAAATTCTATACTTGGATCATGATGAGAATCAGAAACCATTCTAACATGATAAATCTGATAGTTTTAAAAAAATGTCACTAGTGGCCGGACATGGTGACTGATGCCTGTACTCCCAGCACTTTGGGAGGCCAAGATGGGGGGATTGCTTCAGCCCAGCAGTTTGAGACTAGTCTGGGCAACATAGTGACACCCTGTTTCTACAAAGAATAAAAATTAGCCAGACATGGTGGCATATACCTGTGGTCTCAGCTACTTGGAAGGCTGAGGTGGGAGGATTGCTTAAGCCAGGACAGGGAGGCTGCATTGAGCCATCATAATGCCACTGCACGCCAGTCTAGACAACAGAATGAGACCCTGTCTTTAATATATATATATATATATATATCACCAGTGAGGCAGTCATTTTTTTATCAACCCAGTAGTAGTAGAAATGCTGTAGATAATAGGTGAAACTTTTGTAAAACATTCCATTACATTTCTGTGTGAAAGAATAAACTACCTATTACCAACAAATACACAAATACTACTTGGTATTTGGAGAAGAGATCTATGTGCTAGGTTCTTTCACTGTGAAAGACGTATTTATATTTTACCTCGTGATTTTATGGTAAATGAAAAACAGAGTTGCAAGGGGCTTCAGAAATAATCTAGTCTGTTATATGTTCTCAGCAGACATGTCATAGAGCAGATGATCCTGTGTAAATAGCATATGTGTCCCTAGCAATAGGAAGTAATTGTTAGTGATCCTCTTGTCAGGGGATCCAGAGTATGGATAGAATCAAAGTGGCGCGTAACAGGGTGACCCCACCGCACACTGAGAGGTGGGTGGGTCTGCTGCGCCTTCCCCAAGCAGAAGCCCAGCCTGAGGTGTCACCTGCATTCCTCCTGTGCCCCCATGTGCAACCCAGTGTGTGCTCCACAGAGGCCAGTGTGTCTTTAGGCCTCTGTACCGCAGTGACTTCACGTCTCAGTACCTTACTTTCCTTATAAAGCACGGCCATACCTGTGCTCAGGGGAGACTAGCATGCAGAGCTTCTGCTGTAGGGACACAAGTGCATGCCAGTGGCAGGCAGGGCTGCTCTGTAGGTGCCTGGTGCTGATGCCATGGTCTCTACCCGCGGCCTTACCCCCATCACCAGCCAGCCCAGCTCCCCACTTTCCCAGTCTCTTTCTCCATCTGTTTGAATTGCAGCAGTTGTTAGAACCTTCCTTCAGGGCCTCTGCAAGCCCAGGCACCCAGTGACATTTGTGAAGGGAGGATGAATACTTGCGTTCCCCTAAAAGTTTCAGTTCTCATACTAGGTGATATGAGCAGAAGGATTTGGTTTTTATGACCCTGTACTCTGAGCTGGCCAGCTGAGACTTAACACGCTGGCCCTCTAGTAGTGCTGCTGTTGTTTCAGAACGAAACAGCTGTGCTGTCTCTGAATGCCATCCAACTGGATCACAGCCTCAGAGAATGCACTGCTCCACGCTGGAGTGCTCTGAGCAGAGTAGCTCAGTTTCTGAGTCTTCCTGCTGGAGTCCCTCTGGTCCCCTTTGAATCGAGGCCCCATGATTCTTCTTTGGTTCTTTCTAAAATAACTGATGAGTTAGTTATCTGAAGATGAGCATCCATATTTTCTTGTCTATCATGCTTGTTACGTCCATCCCAGTGCATGCAGATACACACACCCTCTCATACTCACACATACACACAATAGACATAGACCCTCACACATAGACACACATGTGATTTTAAGTAGTAAACACATTCCATGGTTGGGAGGGGAAAGAATAAAGTGGTCTCATAGAGGACCAAATTGTAAAACAAAATTTGTTCTTTTCTCTGTATGATGAAGTGCTAATTTTGCTCTGATTAATTTTAATAGAACTTTGTCAAGGAAAGAGGAGACTAAGACACTTACAGTGTAGTGCTTTCCTCCTCCCCTCCCCTTTGCTTTTTGTATTTCTCTCTCTGATTTTCCTCTTCTGATCACTGCAGTCGGTTATGGGGTTGGAGTGCCGACGGCTTAGCGAAGCACCCACCTCCCTTTTCTCAGCCTAACTCCATCCCCACCGCTCCCTCCCACAAGGCTCTCAGGCGCTCTTACTCTCCCAGGTAACAAGCTACCTGTCAAACTTGTCCGAGGTGTCACAATATTATTGCATTTCCAAGGTCGTCTCAGGTCTTTGGGAAAGCCTCTAAGCTGCCTCCAGTGTGGTCCCTTCCTTGGTGTCACCTAGCAGGAGTAGAGCCTTGGTGAGAAGTGTGAGCAGGTGCGTGGTCTTTGCCAAATCTCACAAGTATGGTTCCTGCTGTGTCACAGAGACACATGACCCTTGATAACATGACCAGATTCATCACCACCTATTGTTGTGGGCCTTTCTGCACAGTGCAGTGCTCAGGACCCAGAAGGGGTTCAGGAATTGCTGTGAGGTCAGCGTGGGCATCAGTGGGAGTAGTTTACTTAGCATGCATCTCAAGTGCAGACGGCATTCACCTGAGAAGCCAAAGAGACCTACTCTTTCCCAAACCACACTTGTCACTCTCAGCCATGCTATTGACTATATATAGTTGATTTCTTTCCTAACATACTGTCATATGGGAGTAGTCTGAGCATACAGATCCAGAGAGGAATCCCCAAGAGGCAGGGTAACTGTTAACAGCTCACTGAGGATGTTCTGCCTCTAAGAAGAACTGTCAGTCACCTCACACACCCCCACAGTTGATGCTGAGTGTGGCATCGTGGACACTGGTGTTATGCAACAGTGTTATGAGTCTGGAGAAAGGGTGGGCTTCCCTCAGATGCTGACAGATGGTAAATCTGTGGTACAAAGAACAGTCCACATAGTACTGCACATGTCTGTTTCAGGGTCTCTTGGAGGTGCTTTTTATAAGGTCCAGAGATCAGATAATCTCTTCCCTAGAAACCTGTTAGAGCACCAGGCAGTACAGCTGTCATTGTGCTTTGTGAGATGAGTTTCTACCCTCTATGATAGAGGGTGTGATAGGAAAAGGGTTTAAAAAAAAAATGGCCTGTTACTTTTGAAATGCTTCGTATATAGCTTTTGTGCAGATTTGCATTGCCTTTTGTGGAATACAAATAATCTACTTAGTGAAGCCAAAACCAGTAAATGAAATATGTTAGCAACACCTTCCTTGTGAAGCTGTTACACCTCTGAAAGCCACTTCTAAAATGTACAGAGAACCCTGCGATGAATGTTTCTAGATACACAAGGGCAAGCAGATGAGGAGATGGCTACTGTCTTTAATTTTAACAAAGCAGGCCACTCCTTTGTCTTTCTTTTTCTTTAAGGTTAGCTGTTCCTCCAAGTGTAAGATCAATTGGTTGACTATCTCCCAGTATGTTGATCTGCATCCTCTCATGGACACTCAGCTTCTCCACCAGCCAGCCATCAAGTTTGCCCTCCAGACCACATCCCATTTCTAGGATCGCCTTTCACGTATATACACGATACATGTCAACCTAACTCATTAAAAGAGAATGCTTTGCACATACTTACAACTTCTTTTGCCCATTGGAGGCAGGGATAGTTGACTAGAGACTTTTACATTTAGAAAACCTATTGGTTACATAAAACTAAGAGGGAATCTATATGTCTGTCTCTTTCTTCTGTGCCGAAATCCTGTTGATTCCATAACAAGGAATGACTGTCCTTATTCTATGCATTGTATCCTTTCCCTACAAAATGACAAAGAAGGCAGACTTCTCTCTCCAGTTTCTCTCTTCTGACCCCATGCTCTCCTCCCTACCCACACCATGGATCCTTCAGTGGGCAAGCCCAGGGCTACATTGAGCTTCCATGTTGGGTGGCATGGCCTAACCTTAAGGCAGTGACTATTGACTGATTAAGCAATTCTCCCTAATCTTAAATACCCTACAGGAGCCCTTCTGGAGTCTAACCAGAGTGTTTACTGGTGACCAGAGCCTGACCTTTAACCCTATGAGTATGTCCTGGAGTTGTCTCAGGGCTAAAACAAGACAGGCTATGGCGGCAGATGCAGATTGAGGTTTCCCCAGGTCTCTTCTCAGTCAGCTTCTAAGGCTGTCATGCTGTGCTGCTCCCTTATATACTGCTTGTGAGGACACATTATCTACCCTCCCTGATGATGGCTTTCAAGGGAAGTTCTTTTTCCTGTAAGTGAGAACTTAACAGTTACTGATTTGGAAAAATACAAATCAAGCCACAACATAAAGATAGCAAAGAAAGTAGCATTGTCCATTTCCTGTTAGAGGTAAACAGTTAATGTCTCTCACCTGGAGCTCACAGTTTTAGCTTCGTACCAAGGAGATACTTCAAACGTCAAGCTAGTAAGTCTAAAAGAAGACACCTTCGATTGTTCTTGGTTCCGCAAATGGTGCTCCTGAATTGGGAGTGGGAGTTGGTTTATTAATTGAAAGTGAGAAAAAGGAAATTACCTGGCAGAATCCTTTATTTTCCTATTTTAAAAATAAAAGAGGCTATTGTAAGAGTGAAGTGATGTGAACTGAAATGAAATAATTTTTAAGAAAGTTCAGATTAAGAATAATGAGATGAATTATCTGAAAGCTGACATTATCTGAAGCGACATAATGGAAAATAATATTGTGACATCCCTTAAAAAACTTGAACGTTCCGCCAGACTTCCTCTTGTTCATCCCATCATTCAGTTTTTTGGATTTTTTTTCTTTTGCATGGGCTATGCTGTTATTTTTGGTTGTTGTGATTAAAAGTATTTTAAGGCTTTTTTTTTTTTAACATGTTGTATATATATTTTTTGTTTGAGTCATAATACTCAGTCTTTATATATAAAAAATAAGTGTACTGGCCAGATGTATAAATGCCTTGTATTGTGATATTCTCAGAAGGAGGAGGGGAGCCTCTGGCCCCTCGGTCATGCCTTCCTCTCATCTAAGGAGTGTTGCCTTTTTGACAGACAGCCTTGTGAAGGTAGAAGAGGTTAAGATCTTAAATTCTGTTCAGGTTTTTTATTATACCTCCTGTCAGTTATAGACCTGGAATTTCAACAGCAAACCTGTTCTATTTCTTTTTGTTTGATGCTCAAGTCAATCTTTGAGTTGAAATGTTTTTTGTGAACTCTCCAAATACAGTTGGGTTGTGTATTTTCTTTCATTCATCAGGAAAGGTGGATTTTATCTGGGCCATATTTACAATTTTAGACAAATAGCTCCCATCTTGGAGAGTGTGGTCAGCTCTTGGGCTCTAGAACCTACCAGCACCAGCCCTAGAAAACACTTGGATCATTGCAACATCAAGCCAGTAGAGATCTGGCCACTTCCAAGTGAGAGCTCTCCAAATCTTACCTTGCTCATCTGCCCACACTTTTTTTGTTTAAAGGCAGAGTACTCAAGGAAGAGTACTTAGTAAATGTTCCTCATTTTTACATGACAGGAAACTCACTTTAGGAATGTAAGGGATTGGTTGTGTTGCTTGTAGGAAGGGTACTTAGTTTCTATGGTTGTTACTCTTTTGAAGAACAGGAAGATTGCTTTTCTTTAGTCCTTAAACAATGTTGCATGCTTACTTATGTATAGCCAAAGATTCTTTGTGTGTCTCTAGCAATCCTCAGTATAGTTCAGCACTTTTTGAAAGTTAAATTAGATGAACTCATCTTATTTTTTCTTGAAACTTTCTTGAAATAAGTGACACTAAAACTAAGATTTCTTTTTTTAAACTTGCCCTTGGTTGACCGTTGTTTCATGTTTTGCTTGCTTTATGCTGATATGTCCATCCCATGCTTTTCTTTTATATTCTTAAAATGGTTTTTGTTCTCAGGATTCTCCCTGTCAGTGCACTTTCTAGACATCTAAAAGGCACTTGTTGCAAACTACAGTGCACCAAAAAGGATTGTTTGGTTTTTGCACTTCATGTTTTGCTCTGCCCAGTGTCTATAAAGACAGCAGTTGATAACACTTTCCCATGAATAACAAATATTTCTTGCTTTTATGAGGATTTTTAGATATCCATCCAGGAATGTGACTTTTTATAAAATCTGCTTTAATACAAAACTCCAAATAGAAGCATGTAGAAGAGTCTGATATTCACAGCAAGCTCCTGAGTGAGATGATGTGAGAGTTAGACTTTCTGGGCCTGTTCGTAGGGTGGATCTGACTTTGAGTCTAAGCTTGTTTTGTTTTTGTTTTTGTTTTTGTTTTTACTAGGGTTTTATTTGTTTTCTGGATTGAATACCTGGGAGTATAGCCTAGTCTTGTGAGGTCATTTACTTTGCTCCTTTGAAATTTGTTTGTACTACTAACTTTATTTCTAACTGCCCATTCCTCCTAAGTTTGTACATTTGAGACCAGTAACAACCAAACTCCTTTTTTTTCATCTTCAAAATAAGAAAGTTATTTTTCCACTTTTCATTACCTCGTGCCTTCAGTCACCAGTGTCACTCTTTGAGTTCCTGCATTCTCGTGGTTACTGTTGTTTTCCACTGGTTTTTATTGAGTGCTGATGTAATGTGTTTGGCAGATTTGACAAGGAGGATGTGTAATTGTCCAGTGGTGGTACTCTAATAAAGATGTCTCCCTTTCATTCCAAATCACCCAATGAACAAAACTATAAGTATGTTTTACTCTGTAAACTACTGGAAGTAACTTACGCCCGTATCTCAGTTCTATGTATATGCCTCATTTTAAGAAATAAATATTTTTGATCTTTAGCATGCTGGACTATGATACAGAGAACCTGAACTCTGAAGAAATCTATAGTTCTCTACGTGGAGTTACAGAAGCCATTGAAAAGTTTAGTTTTCGAAGCCAAGAAGATCTGAATGAGCCAATTAAACGAGATGGCAAAAAGGAATGTGATATTGTAAGTATCCCTAGACTAAGAGATAACTCTGTATTAGTTAGATGATAGATACTGAGACTTCTGAACACTGACCATCACGATTACTCAACTTCATCATTATTTTTATCCTGTAGTTAGAATAATGTTTTCCTTTTAGTTTTAGTTGACATGTAATAATTGTACACATTTATGGGACACAAAGTGATATTTTGATAATGTATAGAATGTATAATAATCAAATCAAGGTAATTAGCACATCCATCAGCTCATTTATCATTTCTTTATGTTGGGAACATTGAAAAATTCTCTCTTCTAGTGTTTTAGAATTATACAATAAACTGTTGTTAACTGTATTTACCCCACAGCACTATAGAGCAGCAGTCCCCGACCTTTTTGGCACCAGGGACTAGTTTTGTGGAAGGTAATTTTTCCACAGACCGGGCTGGGGGCCAGAATATGGTTTGCAGATGATTTAAGCACATTACATTTATTGTATACTCTATTTCTATTATTACTACATTGTAATATATAATGAAATAATTATACAACTCACTGTGATGTACAATCAGTGAGAGCCCTGGGCTTGTTTTCCTGCAACAAAGACGGTCCTGTCTGGGGGTGATGGGAGACAGTGACAGATCATCAGGCATTAGACTCTCATAAGGAACACACAACCTAGAGCCTTGGCATGCACAGTTCACAATAGAGTTGATGCTCCTGTGAGAACTTAATGCTGCCACTAATCTGACAGGAGGTGGAGCTCAGGCAGTGATGTGAAGCATGGGGAGTGGCTCTCAGGAAGATGAAGCTTCACTCACTTGCCTGCTGCTCACTTCCTGCTATGCAGCCCAGTTCCTAACAGGCCACAGACCAACACCAGTCTATGGCCTGGGGGTTAGGGACTCCTGCTATAGAGCATTAGGACTTACTTCTCTTACCTAGCTGTAATTTTGTAGCTATTAACCAGCCTCTTTTCCTCCCCAAGCCCACCTTTCCCAGCCTCTAGTAACCACACTTCTACTCACTAGTTCTATGAGCTCAACTCTTATTAGTTACCATAAATGAGTGAGAACATAAGATATTGATCTTAATGTGCCTGACTTATTTCACTTAACATAATGTCCTCTGGTTCATCCGTGTCGCTGTGAATGATAGCCTTTCATTTCTTTTTATGGCTGAATAGTATTCCATTGTGTATATATGCCACATTCTCTTTCTGCCTTCACTTGTTGATGTACACTTAGATTGATTCCTTATCTTGGCTATTGTGAACCGTGCCATAATAAACATGAGGTACACGTGTAGGCATCTCTTTGATACACTGATTTCCTTTTCTTTGGATAAATTCCCAGTAGTGGAATTGTTGGTTGTTTGGTAGTTCCATTTTTAGGTTTTCGAGAAACCACTATACTGTTTTCCATAATGGCTATACTAATGTACTTTCTCACCAACGGTATATAAGAATTTCCTTTTCTCCACACCCTCATCTTTGTTGTTTTTTGTCTTTTTGCTAATTACCATAAAATAGTATTGAAAGGCCCAAGGTAATTAATTTTATAAAATTTCAAAAGAGTAGCCCTCAGCTATCTTGTCAAGGAATGTTAAGTGCCTTTTTTCTCAGTTTGCTTTTGCTCGTTCTGGACCTAGTTTTGTTTCATGATGTGATAAAAATGGTGAGTCGAACCAAACACCACCATGGCTTTCTGGGAGCTCCAGTGTCATGGGAGAGGCAGACAGATAAGCACAGGTTCAGCATCCAGGAGACCTGTGGCTAGTTGTGGTGCCTAGGGAGGATGTTGTATTAGTCAGTTCTCATACTTCTCTAAAGAACTACTTTTTACATCTTAATTAAATTAATATAAAATTGTGTTTGTGGGTGTTAAAAACCAAACACATCCCAGCACCTCCGTTAGATACAAATCCAAAAGAATTGAAAGCAGGGACTTAAACAGATATTTGTGCACCAGTGTTTCATAGCAGCATTATTCACAAGACCCAAAAAATGAAAGCAACCCAAGTGCCCATCAGCAGGTGAACAGGTCAACAAAATGTGGTGTATATACACACAGTGGAATGTGCTCAGCAATTCCACTTACCTGAGGTGCCTTACCATAGGCAGATTGTGAGAGACAAGTATGAGAAAGGTTATCAGGGGTTGCAGAAAAAGGGAGAGGGATGAGGGTGCAGGGTTTTTGTTGAGGATGATGAGGAAGTTTTGGGGTATACATGGTGGTGATGGTTACACAACATCATGAATGTATTGAATGTCACTGAATTATAAATTATTAAAATGATATGTTACATCTACTTTTCCACAACTGGAAAAAAGTGTAAATGCATTAGCACAAAATGAGAGAAATGTATCTTGTCATCAGCACAAGTAAAAATGTTGCCATAGGAATCACCAACATGTTCTGGCTGCCTGGAATGTTTCCACCATTGTCGGGTAGTCAGATGTCTGGGATGAGGAAAGCAATCTGGGCCTGTTGCCAGCAGCCAGCCCACACCTGCTGGGCTACAGTGCCACTTGCAAAGGGGTTAGACCAGTGGTTTGCCCCGTAGGAGAGGACCCTAAGAGTGAAGGGGTCAATACCAATGCAAGGGGCCAGTTAGAGGGCCAGCGGTTGAACTTGTTGAAGACAACATTCAGAATATACTAGGGAAAAAAAACAAAATTCGGAAAATACTTAAGACCTGTTCTTTGATCCAGCATAACAACTCTGAATTAGAAATATCTGAGAGAAGAATGATCTGCCTACGAAGTGCAGGGTTCCCTGTCACAGGAGATTGTGAAGCATTGGGGCCCAGCACTGGGCGCGAATACACATAATACAAGGAATTAATTTGGGGCAGGGCTGCAGTGAGAAGCCCCGATTGTTAGTGTGGTCCTTGAGAGCAGTGGTGTGAGTGGACAGGCTTTCCTTCTCAGGGTCCTTCTGAGTTGCATGGTATCCCTCAGAAGACATCTTGGTAAAGTGAATCACCTGTTTATAAAGTAAAGCAGATTTGAACTGGAACCAACCCAAATGCCCATCGACGATAGACTGGACAGGGAAAATGTGGCACATATACACCATGGAATATTACACAGCCATCAAAAACGATGAGTTCATGTCCTTTGTAGGGACATGGATGAATCTGGAAACCAACATTCTCAGCAAACTGACATGAGCAGAAAATCAAACACTGCATGTTCTCACTCATAGGCGAGTGTTGAACAATGAGAACACATGGACACAGGGAGGGGAGCACTACACACTGGGGTCCGTTGGGAGGAAGTGGGGGAGGGACAGTGGGGGTGGGGAGTTGGGGAGAGAGAGCATGGGGAGAAATGCCAGGTACAGGTGAAGGGGAGGAAGGCAGCACATCACACTGCCATGTGTGTACCTATGCATCTATCTTGCAAGTTCTTCACATGTACCCCAAAACCTAAAATGCAATTTAACAAAAAGAAAAAAAAAATACCAAATAAATAAATAAATAAATAAAAAAGACTAGATGGAAATGCAGGCCTGTTGTTCCTTTTACGGTAGTTTATGGATTTGGTGTTTTTACATTGGAATACTAATAGCTGTCTTTTTGCCACTGGCTGTACATATTTCAAGTGAAAATCTCTGGTCCTCCTAATATTTCTGAGCATTCAAAGGAAATGTCCGTTACAAGTCCTAGAAGGGAACTGACAGTGTGCTGTGCTCCAGGTGTCCCGCGATGGGGGTGCTGCCTCTCCTGCCACTGAGGGCCGGGGGGGCAGCGAGGTAGAAGGAGGCCGAACAGCTCTGGATAACAAGACCTCGCTACTCAACACCCAGCCTCCGCGTGCCTTCCCGGGGCCGCGGGCGCGAGAGTACAACCCGTACCCCTACTCAGATGCCATCAACACCTACGACAAGACCGCCCTGAAGGAGGCTGTGTTTGATGATGACATGGAGCAGCTTCGAGACGGTTGGTGCCTCTTTGCTTAACTGTCCCCATCCAGAAGTGCTTCCCATGTGCTCCCTCCTGTCTGGCCAGCAGCAGGCCCACTGGTCAGATGTAAATGGAGACGCTGGGTCTGTTCTTCCTGCTTAGTCATTTGTTCAGGCACTCCTTACTGCATCTCTACCTGGTGCTGGGCACGGGGGACACGACAGTGAGCAAGAGCTCAGGTCGCGGGGCAGTGAGGAAACAAGCAGTCACCTGTGATACGAGCAGCTGTGCATGAGGAAAGGCTACCTCTACCCTCAGGGAAGCTTCGCTGCAGGACCCAGGACCCAGGCAGTCAAGGGCTGGAGGAGCAAACAGGATGGCGAACATGGGCTCAGCCTTCATGAAGGCCTTGGGCCTGCGCGTCCCATCTCCCGAGCTGTGGAGTGAGATCCTGAAGCACTGCTCCAAGGCTTCCCTCTCCTCTCACACCGGCTTTGTAAGCAGCTCTCCCTGGAGCTGTGCTGAACTCCATGCTGCATTTGGGAGGCAGGGGTCTGACATACACTGAGCACATGCATTATCATGTGTGGTGCCAAGCTATGTGTTGGGTCAAAAGGATGTTCCCAAAATGTAGCATAAGCATATAACACAGGAATTATGGAGCAGAAGCAGAGCTAGTCTGCTTGCTTTCTGGCTCCTGTGTTAAGACCAGTGTCTATTATTGAATAAATCAGTGAATGATGAATATGTGTTTTTGTACATGGTACAATGGTATTTTTATCTACTTTTTCACCCCTCATGTTACATGATTTGGTTTATTTCAATTTGATAGCGCTTTTAAAAAATTATTTTGAAGCCTATTTTATTTCTCAAGTTTGAATGAATCATTAAATTAGAACCTATATTAGAATTCTAAGTAGTTAACGTTCACTGAGGGCCTACTGTATGTCATGAAGTGTATGGGTTGCCAAGGACCGAGGTAAATGAGACACGGTCCCTGGCCTCAGAGAGCTCAGGGTCTGTCAGGGGAGCAGACTGATAGTGGTCACACTAGTACCAGAGAATGCCTGTGCTGGAGGCAGATGCCAGATCCAGTGGGGGCACAAAGAAAAGAAAGCTGATCGCTTGCAAGGATCAGACAGTAGGAGAATGCTAAGCCAGGAGAGAAGTTCTCTAACTGTCCGAAAGCGGAAATGGCTGTAGGGATTAAAAGCCTAATCACTTGGCTATTAATTGCTTATATGCTGGTGGGCAGTATCTCAAACTCTGCCCACACATCTGTTTACTGGGCAGTAAGCTAATAGGGTATAGTGTTTGTAGTGACTGGCACTTCCTGGGAGAAGTGGACTATTTGTTTTCATTGCTTATAGAATTATTTACCTTCTCCTTTATAGATCTCAATTAAGGTAGAAATGACAGTGTTGTTTATTCACCAACTGTGTGCTAAAACACTTAAAGAAAAAGGCAGGAGGAAATGACCGAGTTCTTTATCATTTCAGACTTTCTTGTGTGTTTGCGACCCAATCTTATAAATTAAAGAAATATGCAAATACACATTTAAGTAGTTCCTAATAACTTGTCTGATTTGTTTGTTTTTCCATCCTCTCTATTTAAAGTTGAATATTCAGAGTTGAGGTTTCTTAAAAGAACATGGAGGAGAAAGGATGTGCCTTTCTGCCATAGAAACCGTGTTCACAGCCCTACAGGTAACTATGTTGAGTCATCTTGGGCCAGTTTTTACTCTCCACGTAGATAGTCCACCAGTAGTCCAGACACCTTGATTGGTATTTGTTCACCATGCTGGTTCCTAAGCTGTAGGCATTTGAGAAGGGAATGGATGATAATCAGATGTGATGGTGAGGAGGCCTTGAGGAGAATGTGTGTACGTGTACGGGAGTGGATTGGACCCTGGTAAGAGGCTGTCCAGTGGTGGGGCTGACTCAGGACCATGGCAGTGGGAGAGAGTTTTGGAAAATAAGAGGGTTGAGGCCCACCTTTAGCAGATACAGGCATTGCTCTTGTCTGAAGTAGAAGGAAAAAGATAGTAAGGAAGGGTGAAGACATTGACTGTTGGTGCTGGACAGCTGGTCTCGCACCTCTGCTTTCACAGTGAACTTGGTGAAAAGGTTGGCTGAGGGTGTGTAGGCTGAGGCCGGACAGCAAAGCAGGGTGGAGGGCGGGAGGGGAACGGTGAAGGAGGCATTGCCTCTGGGAGATGAGGCGGGAAGAGAAGGATCGCTGGGCACCACTGAGGGAGCCCCTGTGCCGGGTATTTCCTCACGAGGTAATGTATGTCTGGTGTGTCTCACCAGTGCCCATCGACCATTCTGACCTGGTGGCTGACCTTCTGAAAGAGCTGTCCAACCACAACGAGCGGGTGGAGGAACGGAAAGGAGCCCTGCTGGAGCTGCTCAAAATCACACGGGAAGACAGCCTTGGCGTCTGGGAGGAGCACTTCAAGACCATTCTGCTCCTGCTGCTGGAGACCCTTGGAGACAAAGACGTGAGATGCTGGTTTGGCCTTAGCTTGTCCCTTTCCATGTAATGGGGTCACGGTGTCCTTTTCTCACTGGGGCTGGCTCCAGCTTTACTTTCCGGGTTGTGCTTACTGTTTACATCAAAACATGTATTTGTTCATTTTTCACATATTTTCTGAGCACGTTTAGTAAGGTAGTGTTTTATCAGCAACAAACTTCTTGGCGTATGTGCTTAGTCTGCAGCTGGGTTTATGGTAGTTGAGGGAACGTCATTCCTGCATCTAGTTGCTTTAACACAGAATTTCTTAAAACTTCATTAGCATAGAATGTGGTCTTTTAGGATGCACTTTTTTGTGTGAGTTTCATTTTTGTTTCCTGTGTAATTGAGAAAAAGTTTCATTTTTTTAAAGACCCAATTAAATGCTACATTCCATGAAATTCCATCTTAGTTCCCCCTTACTTATGTTTGCAGTTCCAATAATTTTAATCGATCAAGTGACAGTTTCCAGAAGTATGATTCTGACTTTTGTATTATTAATTTTAAAAAAGCCTCGTCATGCTGGGACATTTGAATGTGACAAACTAGGTATTTGTGACATGCCTGGTCTGATCTGTGATTTGCATATGGCACATTTAGAACTCTTAAAAGGGGGAATAATCTAGTCAATGTCCTGCGTTCTCTCACCTTTGGAGCTGATGCCTTATATGGAGATAGGAATAGATGCTGGGAATTGCCAGAATTAAACTTCTGCAAGAAAAACCTTATCTGTCCACATTGGCTTTGTGTAGGCCAGCAGAAATGAGAAGAGAGTGCTGTGGTGAGGAGCTGGAAGAGAGAGATGGGGAGGATTGCCAGGAGGTGACAGGCCATGCCCAGGGCAAGCTAGAGGGGACTTGCATGGCAGCCAAGTGACAGGAAGGCTGCTGCATGCCATGCCATGGTGACTTAGATAGCTTTCTGATGCTTTGGATTAATGGTTTGGTTTAGGGATAAGTAAAGATAGAAAAATGGTAGTAAGTACTCTGTTTTACTTTAAAAAAAAAAAAAAAAAGACAAAGTGTTGGCTTGTAAGGCAGTTATGCCTTGTCGGCTCTGTTGGGAGATAAAGTGATGTCATATATAGGACAGGTAGATGGTGTATTAGTGTGTGAATTGTACAGATGAGTGACAAAGAATCAGGATGTACTTTCTGGCTCCCTTTGATGTAAACGCCATTCTTTTTTATTGAGATTAGGAGTCTGTTTGGAATGGCTTTCCTCCAGATGCATGACTCTGGCCTTAACCAACTCGAGACATGTACACACAGCCAGTGATCTCATCACATGGAAGGTCAGAATAACGACAGGCCTTCTGCTGTCCTTAGGGAGTTCACAGTCTTACAGGCTGTGTTGATGAAACATCCAAGTGCTTTGTACACATTCTTTCATACATTTTACAGAAGGATAATTTGTAGGCTGAAGCCTCAGGAAATCTGGAAATCCCCAGAAAACTGATAATGAACTTAGGTGTCTCGTCCTCATTTGATCTCGAGTGTATGGCTTGTTCAAGCTTTTTTCAGTGCCTGTCAGGTGCTAAATCCTGGGAATGTCACCCTAAGGCACAGTGCCTGCCTTCATGGAGCTGATCACTGTGTGATCTGTGTAGAGGGTTCTGCAGGGTTCCAGGGAACCCAGAACTGGGTGCTTGGCCTTGCCGGCCCTTGACTGCTGTGTCTGAAAGTGCTGTGTGGTGTTTGGTGATGTCTTCCTTTCCCCTTGTACTCCAGCATTCAATTCGAGCCCTGGCGTTGAGAGTTTTGAGGGAAATTCTCAGAAATCAACCAGCAAGATTTAAAAACTACGCTGAGCTGACGATTATGAAGACTCTGGAAGCCCACAAAGACTCCCATAAGGAGGTGAGTCAGTCATGCGGCCAAGGGTGCTAAACAGATGGGTCGTGGGGAGCAGTTGGGATGTGGAGATAGACGAGTCAGAATCAGTGCACAGCTTAAGGGCCCCTTCCTTGGAACTCGGCCATGTCATAATACAGAGTGGAATCCCGATTGCTGTTGTCCTTGCTGAGCAGCGGTGCATTTCCCGGGCCAGTGCCATTTGTTCAGTTCCCAGCTCCTCACTGTGTCTGACAGGCTTGCCCTGTCCTGAGATGTCTTCCATGTCCGGGCTTCCTGCTGCCTTTGTGAAAGGGGAGGATCTGCTGCTGCTTTCTGGCATTTGGCCTCTGGTAGTCTGCTGTGGGAGGTGGAGATCAGCTTTGACATGCAAGTCTCAGAACCAGCACCTCCTTGCTCCAGGTCTGTGACCCAGTCATTTCACCTTCTGAGCCTCCCGTGTCCTTGCGTGTAAAATAGGAATGAATGTTTCCACAAAGGTTCTCGTGAGAATTAAATGAGATGGCCAGGGATGGTTCCAGCCCCGCGCCTGCCCACAGTGGGTAGCACGCTGCTGTACTGACCTTTCCCCCTCCTGGCTTTTCCGTGTGCTTCTCTCTGCAAGATGAGACTGAGTACAGGCAGCCCTGCCATGCCTCTTCCCCTCACTTTGGAATATTTAAAGTGCTAGCAGGCCATCCCTGCAGTTCCTGGCATTGGCACCTCAGCTGCCTGGTGGAGAGCAGCAGGACATGTCTGTGTCCTGCAGACATGCCACAGAGGCTGCGCACTCAGCAAAAGCTCAGCCTGTTACTTGTTGGACTGTCCAGCCCCTGTGCCTCACCAGGCTTTCAAGTAGCTAGAAGCCTGCAGAGAGTGGGGAGGCGGCTGGAGCTGTCGTGACACAAATGATTTCAGTGACATCCTTCAGTAAAAGGAACTGTGGGAAACAAAATCATGTATTAGAACTTCGGAAAACTTAGCGTGCCAGGTAATGGGTTTGACCCCAGTGAGACATAACTACTTGCTCAGTTTGATCTCTTGGCTCATACGTGACTCTCATATGAGCACACTCATGGATTAAGGGAGTTATAATTAATGCAGTTCTTCCATCTACATTAGGAGTCAGACCCTAGATCAGGCGTCCCCAAACTACGGCCCGCGGGCCGCATGCGGCCCCCTGAGGCCATTTATCTGGCCCCCCGCCGCACTTCAGGAAGGGGCACCTCTTTCGTTGGTGGTCCGTGAGAGGAGCGCAGTATGTGGTGGCCCTCCAACGGTCTGAGGGACAGTGAACTGGCCCCCTGTGTAAAAAGTTTGGGGACGCCTGCCCTAGATCATAGTTCTATTTGGCATTTTGTGGCTGCTTGAGCAGGGACTGATTTGACCTCTTCAAATCTCCACCACAGTTGTAGCTCAGCAAGGGCAAGGGTCTTGTCCTCAGACTGGGTCTCTCCACCTGCTACTCCAAGAAAACAGCACACAGTACACAGGGGATGGATGTGTTTTCAGACTATGATAACTGGGTTTCCGAAACCTAGCTTGGTTGCATGATGGTGATAATCACTCATATTTGAACAAAGCACTTTTCATTTATAATCACTCATTTAAAAAACGTGAAGACCAGCTGAGCTAATACGATCAACATAGTGATTCCCAGGTGGCGAAGGAAGGTCCTAGAGCAGGGGTGTCCAATCTTTTGGCTTCCCTGGGCCGTACTGGAAGAATTGTCTTAGGCCACACATAAAATGCACTAATGATAGCTGATGAGCCTAAAAAAATTACAAAAACTTTTCATAGTGTTTTAAGAAAGTTTATGAATTTGTGTTGGGCTGCATTCAAAACCATCCTGGGCCACGGGTTGGACAAGCTTGTCCTGGAGGAACTGTATGCACAGCAGTTACTCATGACAGAACTGAGATACTAGCTAGGTTTTCTGTCTCCTTTAAGGGGCCCCTGGCTTGTGCTAACTTTTTTAAACCATAATTCCTTCTCCTTAATGAGAATACATGATCAAAAAGTGAAATTAAAATTATGTTCTTTTTATTTTGTTTCATTTTGCTCTGTTTTTGAGATAGGGTCTCGTTCTGTCACCCAGGCTGGAGTGCAGTGGCACAACGTGTGCTCACTGTAACCTCCACCTCCCAGGCTCAAGCAATCCTCCTGAGTAGCTGGGACTGCAGGCCTGAGCCACCGCACCTGGCCTGATGTTCTTTTACATAGAGATGATATCAGTTGTTTTCATGAGGCAGTACATACCTGGACTTGGCATTTAAATGAAATGCCAAGCTGTCCATGGTGTCTTGGCGTGCACTTAGACTCTGCAGTTGGAAGATAGCTGTCTTTAAAGTGAGTCCTCAGAAGTATAAGTGAACAAAATTAAGTAATTGATTTGCTCTTTACTGTTTTCTTGGGAGATCTTTTTTTTCCTGCAAAATTGGAAATTTAGGAGAGACAATTCTCAGGTATGAGGCCCTTTAAATTGCCCAAGGGAAAAGAGCAGAAAATATATCCTGCTGAAAATAAACTTAGCAGCGCTCAGGGCCAAGGGTCCCCATGCTGCTGTTTGCTGACTCGAGGTCAGGCCGGTAGAGGAGATGTGTTTGGGAACAGCGCCTGCATTGGCAGGCCTTCCTGCTTTGCATGCTTTGACTCACCTTGACTCATTGCCCTTGGAGTTTCCTTATAAAACTTCACTCTGTCACTTTGCCAGGAGCGACTATAATAACTCAGGCACCTGCATGTTTAGGTTTGGGGTTGGGTTTTTCTTTTTCCTTCCTTTTCTTTCCTTTTCCCTTGAAGTTTTTCTTACCTTCCTCTTATTTTAACCAATCTTTTTCCATTCCTTCTTGCTATGTTTTAGGGCTTAGATGCACGTAAAGTTGTGTTGTAGGCATCTTGTTGGCATATTAATATCGCACATAACAGTTCTCTAGTCCCTCCATTTTCTCATTATTTCATTCCGTTCTTACGACTCCAAACATTTATTGAAAAGGATCTGAAACATATCTATTTAGACTTACTTTTTACTCATACAAAGACATAATCTATTTTCCTGTCTTATTAATACTTCCAAAGTATGTTCATCCCAGAGTGAGCTTTCTTGGAACTTCCTTCTCAATAAGAAGCTAGTTGGTTTTCTGTTCCAGGCAAAACCTGGGCTTCTGCAGGAGATGAAGAACATGAGACCTGGCAGGTTAACATGGGGCTGCTTTTATAGACATTGGCACCAGCTGCCCTCCCTCTGCCAGCCTGATGTTCCCACAGCAGCATGTGCACTATGGCTCTGACAACGTGACTGCAGCAAGGAAGGACAGCTTCTTGAAATACAATTTCTGTAAACTGAAATTTGTCACGAAAGCTATTAGGGAAGCTGGATGAGGTAGGGCTGATGGCTCCTTTTCTCATCATATAAGCAAGTGTCTGCCTTCTCAGTTTCTTTTAAAAGGAGCTATATGTGCAGAATGTGTTTCTTACACCCTGAAAATGTACCAAGTGCCAAATCTGTCTCAGACTCCATTCATCCAAAGCTAATATACATGCTCTGTGGTAAGCAAGATGGATGGGGGATTTGGACACCAATTTAGAGTTTTTATTTTAAAAGTTGATGTTTCTGAGCTTAGACATGATGTTTTCATAGTCCTTATTTGAATAAGTCTCTTTCATTATCTGACTTCATTTTTATCTTTTTAGTAAACAAATTTTGCTATTGAGTTTCAGTGCCTCGTTAATGAAGTTTCTGTGGTTTGCAGTCGTGTTAGCATTTAGCAAATACTTTAGAGGGCTAAGCCTTGAGAGGGACCTTTTAAAATGTTGAGCCCGTTTTCTGTTTCCAAGAGAACTCCATTAATTTGAACTCTTTTTATTTTAGAATTTGTAATTGTTTGTTAGAGCTGGTGGAGAACCTCTCCTTTGGTGATTGGGAAGAGAGGATTAAATAAGGGAATTGATACTACAAAGAGATTCTGGGGTCAGTGTGAGGTACGAATCTTGAAGCAGAAAACCTGGTTTTTAATCCTGCGTCTGCTGTTCTCCAGCTGTTCTCACTTTCATTATCTCAGTATAACTCTGGATAAGCAGTTCTGTTGTGAGAATGAAAGATATGATGATAAAGAAATACGCTTTTTAAATTGTCATATGCTATACAAATATTGCTACGTAAAACTGTTCTTAGATGTCCTTATTCATTTCAGAAGTGCCCATTTCTCAGGAAACAGTTGATGTAGTAATTATAAATCATTTTATGCACATTCAATGCAAGAATATTTGCTGCTGCCAGTTATCATGATATGCTTATAGTACTCATAATGTTGAAGTTCACAGTAAATGTTTTATTTAAACTTTATTTTTTTTCTTTATTTTTTTATCTTTTTATTTTTTTAAATTTTTGTTATCTTTATTTTTTAAATTTTTTTTAAATTTAAACTTGAAAGAAGTACCACTCTGTTTTTGAAGATATTCTGTAATTGAGGCTTTCCGATCCATTGTGGGGAACACTCCCGTGTGAGACCCCTAAAAGGCGTGAGTCTCACTATACGGTGAGTTTGATCCCAAAATTAGACATAGCGTATTCTGAACTTTGCCATATTAGGGAATGTGCAGTTACATTTGTCTATTAAAAGAGGAAAATATTAGCATCATTCATGTCACTATGCTGGATCACCAAAGGTCATGGTGTTTAAGGCACCAGAATCCAGCTTCAGGTAGTTTGGCTTGTTTTAGGAAGTTTGATTCTTAGGTAAATATAAAACCACCAGTTATTATATCTACAGGGGTTTTAGTTCTAAATCATTTCTAGTTAACTTTTTATTTTGTGACTTTAAAGAATTAAAATGGTAAAATCAGGCCAAAGTTACTTAAAAGAAAAGAGAACTTCCTGGAACTTGTCTGGTTTCTGATTCACCCAGCCAGCATGGTGTCTGATGCAATCCTTTAGATAAATGCTGTAGCCAGAGAGAAGCATCGGTGTGCCAGAGAAGGAGTATTATCAAATGCCAATTAGAATCACTAGCTGACTTCATCTTAGC